ACAGAACATTACTGCAGATAAAGCTCCCGAACTTCGAGACGATAATTGAGTGAAAACTTTACATGATATATTGTGAGCCTTCTAAAGTTTTAATAATGAAGAAATCACAAGGTTCACAGAATCTAAAGGTTTGAATACTAAACTTTTGACTTTCGAGTACTCGATTGACTATCGAGTCTATTCTAGTCAGTCAACTGTGAAGTGTCATGTTTGTTGTGCATTGCCTTTTCTTCGAGAAGTTTCTCCAACTGCCGATGAGTGTCTCCTCAATTTGAAAGCTGAGGTAACGAATAGGTGCCATAAATGTTTTTTTTATATTTAATTCGAAACTATTATGTTGCGAGTAAATAGTATTTCCTTCTGTAGATCCAATATCCCTCTTGCTCATCTGTGAGACTGTGAGTAACGCGCGCAATTAACAATCTTGCATGGGACCTTCTCTGTGTTGCCTGACTTGACGTTCATACGATCATAGCTACCATAACCAAAGCCGATTTCTGATGGCCTGCAAACCTGTTTCTAGTTGCCTGGAACGTTTTTTTTAAGGCGGAACGCTTTTTTATGTGAACCACGAATTTTAGAATTCCAGCCTGGTGCTGGTAGCCTGGTGTTGCCTTGGGGTGGGGGTATTGTGTCTAGTATGTTGGTGTAATATCTGTGTGGGGTTTGCACTATTTGTCTGTGTGTAGGTGGGTGGTTGCGTAGGTAGTGGCATGGGTGTTGTGTGTTGTTTATGGCTGCGGCTAAGAATTGTGTTCCTCTCATGTCCAGGTGTGCTTTTATGGGAAGTATTTTTGTTTCTGCATGAAGGTGTTCTATGGGGGTGCTTTGTATGCAGCCTGTGACTATCCTGAGTGCTTTGTTTTGTAGTGTTTGGAGTTTCTGTATGTTTGTGTTGGATAGTGCGGGCGCCCAGGCGGGGCTGGCATAAGCCAGCACTGTTCTGATGAACTGTTTGTATGTTGGTGCTAGTGTTTCTTTGTTTTTGCCGAATTTGGTACCGCCTAGGGCCCAAAGTGAGTTGAATCTGATGTTTGCGTTGTTCACTATGTTGTTGATGTGAGGGCCGAATGTCATGGATGTGTTGTAGGTGACCCCTAGTATTTTTGTTTCATGTGTGTCACAGTGTGTGCGGGATCAGGGTGTTGTTTAATGTGATGTTTGGTCTGTATTGGTGCTCCTTTTGTCCTTTGTGTGGCTGGTCATTAATGTGTTTGTGGATTTGCTAGGAGCAACCTTGAGTCTGTTCAGTGTTCAAATAAAAAAATCAATTTTATTTTTTGGTAAAATAACTCCAAATAACTCCAGGTTGTGGTGCATTGTAGTAGAACTCTTCTAGTTACATATGCGAAAGACAAATTTTATGAAAGTGTCAATGTTACCCCATCACCACCTAATGGTGATGGGGTAACATTGACCGGTTTGGAAATTAAGTTAAAATTACCATATATAAGACTCTGTAGAGTCTGAAACATAAAGAAAAAAACATTAATAGGTGTATCAAACATAAAATATGTTATATAGGTACCTATGGTAATTTTAACTTAATTTCCAAGCCGGTCAATGTTACCCCTGGCCCCATCACGGCTGCCATTAGGTGGTCAAAGTTCCCCATTGGAGGGTGGCGCCCCCCATTTGCAAACTATGACACTTTCCTAAAATTTGTCTTTTGCATATGTAACTAGAAGAGTTCTACTACAATGCATCAAAACCTGGTGTTATTTTACCAAAAAATAAAAAAATTGGAGGGGGTACTCCGACAGGCTTTGAATAATAGGGTAAACGCGGTATATTCCGACATCGTAGGTAATTCCGTCACTTCTCTAGTTTTTCTTTTATATTAAGCTTTGTTTTAGTTCCATGCGTTCATTGATGGTTGAAATGGTGACGTCATACATTTGCGTGTCGAAATACTGCAAAAACACTAGGATGACGTTTCATCGTTGCTGACGCGTAGTGAAGTGTTTTGAGAGTCATGTGAAGGCAACAGAACTTACGTAACGCATACGTTTTTTTTATAGTTTTTCATTTCTCGATGCGTCCTTAAAGTGTCGGAATATACCGCGTTTACCCTAGCTCTTTTCCATGGGTCACATTATTAATTTTTTAACCTATTAGATATGCAAACTTTTTGAATCTTTCTATTGTGTGTTACGTAGCCTCAGTATTAGGCCTTTGATGGCCATTGACAAAATTGTTCTATGTCAAATCGTTTTTGAGATTTGGGGGTTTTTGTTGAAAAAAAACGAAAAGTGGTCAAAGTTACCCCGCCGGTCAAAGTAACCCCATTTTACGGTACTGACCTTAGCAGAGGTACTTTTCTGAAATCTCAGTTTTCACACTTTTTTCAGCAATTTTTTAGAGGTAGTAAATGCATGATTTATCAACTTGCTATTAGTACACAGCTAGGAAAAATGTTCAACATTACACTATTTTCAGTTTTGCAACATTTCACTTAGTTTAGCTGCTACAAAATGTTGGAGGACTGTCCCTTATTACCCTGCCTGTCCCTTATTACCTCATTTGATGGTACTCTTTTTACCAGATACATCAATGACCAATGCTGTTCAACCTTCTCTACCAACTATTAATTATTAACAGTTTAACAGTGCCACTCTTAAAGCAGCTAGCTGCACTCTCCACTCCAATGCTTCCCAAGCTGCCAGCGACTCGTACCACCTGTGAGTACTGCTCAACTGCTGGCCTCCTTCACTCCCAGCAATAGATAAATCTGAACAAAAACTCCAAAGATCCAAGAGACGAACACTGGCACAGCTTAGCTTGTGCTACTGTATGCTCCTGAACAGCTACAAAAGCAGAATCTATAATAACACCAAAACCTGTTTAACTACTGCCAACTCTCCCCGGATAATGTGCCCCACCTCTTTGACTGCCCTAACAACCCAATACCCCTCAGCGCCATACACCTTTGGAGGGACCCAGCTGCAGTTGTGCGCTGGCTCCAGCCACGGCTGGACCAGTGACATCTGGATTGGGTACAGGGCAATAACGACAAAAGCCTGACAGGCTGTCACTACTTTTTAACATTGCACCCAATGTGGAAAATTGGGCAGAAGCTCCCCATAAATCTGACTAAATTGTAGGCATGTGAAAAAAAATTTTCCCCTGATCTTAGTGGAACATATACAGCTGAGAGAGAAAAATTTTAGAACAATACCATATTAAAACAAGTGGAATACTAATAAAGTGGAAAAGCTGCAAATTTTTTCTTTTATTAAATTACATCTCCAAAGTGGATCAATTTTTGGTACTTTCTTTGGAAAAACTATAATTTCTAGGTTTCCTATGAGCCAATTTCAAAGATTTTAGCACTATTATTATAAAGCTCCTGTTGTAGACTATCTATTCTAAGCAAAATAATACATTTTGGCTGAGTCTTTGACTGCAGGTGGGTGGGGGAAATGGGTGTAACTGATAGATATGAGTGGTGTAAATTAAGCAAAAGGCAGAATTGAACAGAATAAATTCCAGTTCGATAAACAAATGATAAATGAATGATAATTACATGATATATGAATGATGAATGAATGAACTAGTTAAGAAAAGTCCAACTTTTTTTCTGAAATATCATGGCTCAAATATCATATAATTTCTGTAGGTATGAAATTTTGCAACTCTAATGTCATGTATTTTCATTTGAAAATTTCAAATTGTGCCGTACTGTGCTTCAAAAAGTTTTTTTGAAGATCACATAGTTGCTGTCATGTCAAAGCAGTCAGACTGCATTATCACATGTTCAGTTGCCACTAAAGTAGAGACAAATTTTATTGTTGCTGTTTCTAGGGTAAAATTAGAGTCATGGGTTAACACATGCACAGCACCTTGTAAATGAGTTTGTGGCTTGTCAATGGCTCTTCCTGGCAAATGATGGCATAGATATGGAATTCACGGCGCAAGGAAATAGAATCACGGCTTGCAAATCCATGAAACCATATCTCAAAAAATCCAGTTGTGGTTTAGAGAGCAAATATTTTCCTCGCTAGTAAATGATGAATAAATGATAAATTAATGATGCTGGGTTCATTGATACATTCATTATACAGTATGACTGATAAATGATAGGAAAACGATGGGAAATGATAGCAAACTAAGCAAGTGGTTTTGAATTCAGAATTGTGTGTTTGAAGACTGCATTTGATAAGAAACAATCTAGATCAGTGCCTGATGAAATAAATTGTGGCATACCGTAAACTGGGGTAACTTAGACTCCCGGGGTAACTTAGACCACTTTTGGTTTTTTTAACAAAAACCCCCAAAACTCAAAAACTATTTGACATAGAAAAATTCTGTCAATGGGCATTAAAGGCCTAATACTGAGGCTACGTAACACTGGGGTAAAAAAGACCATCGATTTTTTTTAAATTACATCAAAACTATGAGAGGCAGGAGCCAGCAATTTATGGTGAGTGAAGCTAGAGTATAGATCTGTATTTTGCATGTTTCAATTTAAGTTTAACTTATCTAGTAAAAAAATGGCATCATTTAAAAAAAAAAAGTGGTCTAAGTTACCCCAGTTTATGGTATGTAAGATGAAAGGCAGTTAAAAAATACTCAGCAGAATTGAGGGCTGAAATCTTTGAAAACAAGGTTCTAGCATGACACGATAACCCAAGGCAATTAGGGTTAAGAGGAAAGTTGTTGCCTTATCAGACTTTTTTTTTATTAAAATACATCCAAGTTTGATGTCTAAAAACCTGTTGTTTGTCCCAGAGTGGAGTTTGAGAAGGGTAATAATTAATAAATGACCAGGTAAGCATAGACATAGCCTTGACATAAGTATTTCTTGAGTAAAAATTAAGCAAAAAGACACAACTTTGCCCTTAATTTTCATAAAATTACTTGTGAAAAACTTGTGTACCAACAATTTTTAGAAAATTCTTCCTGATAAAAATTGGCAAAGTGTCCAATTCTATAAATAGAGGCTCACACTTCACCTATTCAACTTTGATCCAGCTGGCTCATTAAATTTATCCAAAAATGTTGAATTTTTAATCAAAATCAAAAGTGAAAAGGTTGTGCTCAGTTAAACATAAATAACCAAGCTTATCCCAAACAAAAACCCAATCTGATTAGAAAAACATGGTTTGTCAAAGAGGCACAAAATGTCCATTATCGTAGCTGCTATCTGAGGTCCTCTGCCATTATTGGAGCTGTAAAATTCCTGCTAGATGAATAATCTTGCATCTAATTCTTAATATAAGTCATAATCAAGCCACAAAATTAAAAATTTATTAAAAATATATGAATTTGGAGCTGTGAGATGCAAGTTCTATTCAAGAATTGTCCAAGCTTGGTTTTTATGTGCTTCCTGTCTATAATTACAAGTTTAATGTGTATGACTGCTAAGATAAAAATTTCAATTCATTTTAGATTTCTCTATTTTATTATTTTTCAGACAATATATGCTAGCATCTTCCGCAGTAAATTTTTTACCACAATGGAAGTTGATCGTGGACCTCCTGCAAATGCTGCTGGCATCATTGTTATTTTTGCAGTATTTGGAGCTCTTTTTGCATTTATTTATGTTTCTCTCTTTAGGAAAGATGATCAGGCCAAAGAAAAAGGTAAGCATGCATTTTCTTTATTGAAATTAAAATAACTATGGCAATTAATATAACTCGATAGTTAAGAACTTAGTTAACCAAACTGAATTAAAGAACTTTGTTTCATATAGTTTGACAGGTACTCTTTTTAGCTCATTTTCTCATTTATGGAAAAAATGCACTATTGTGCTCACCATGTCCGTCTGTCCATCCGTCCGTGACCTCAAGTTTTAGTTGACAAGAAAATGCGCTCTCTGTCACTCACTGCAGTGAGTACTGAATTAAATTTTTTTATGATTTTAAGTGTAAGTTTTTAATTATAACCTTTTATATTTAGCCTAATGTAACATTTCTGCAGAATTAGAGTCTCAAATCATGATGTAGGGAATAATGAAGGTTATTTGTTATAAATGTTGTAGAGATTATTTTATTTGATCTCTTCCAACATTTACTATACAAATCTTTGTTTAAAAACTTACAGCATTGCTAAAGGGTAATAAGTTTATCTCTCTTAAATCACTGTTTTTGCAATTGCATTAATCTTTTGCCAGATTGTCATTGAATGAATTGTATATGGAACGGTATTCCAGTAATATTTGCTGTTGTCATTTTTCACACCATTCTTATCCCATTCTGAAGCAACTGACAATCAAGAAGTAGGTAGTACAGCTGTAAAAATTATTATTCTAAATAATTTTAATTTCATTTAAACTGCTTTTACAGATGAATCAGAAGATAATGATGACACTGCCGCTTCTTTAGTCAATACTGAAAGTTCCAGAAGAAAACATGTGAAGCCTCTAAAAAAAGTTTTGAGATCATTGAAGCATCATCAGTTTAGTGACCCCTGCCTCATCTCAACTTTCAAGGGCCACACTGACCGCATCACATCTGCTGCTGTTTCTTCAAACGGCAAAGGATTGGTAACCACTGGATTAGGTTGGTTATTTTACATTTTCTTGCTTCTGTTTTAAAGTTCTCAAAGACAATATGTGCAATTTCTGCTTTTGCTGGATTATTACTCATTTACTCTTTCTTCAAAATTTGGATTTCAGATTTTGATAAATTTGAATTAGGATAGGTATGTATTTACATGCATGTTATTGCAAAGATATTGATCTTAGGAAATGGGGGACAATTCAATATTTGAGACTCATGATTGCTGTATTGAGTTAGCTGGTTTCTGGCTAGGAAGTTGTTGGTATTCATGTCCATGGCTTATGTGATAATACCTTAAATATTAATCATACGTGTCCACATGTTTCAAGTTTTTGTTTGGTTTAGCTGTGAATTATATGTTTAGTAGGGTCCCTGGAAATGGATTTAAGGTGGACTATATAACTGGGAGCAACTGCTGTGTTACTAGTTGTATTATGCTCTGATCATGCTGCAAAACTGCCCAAATATTTTTATTAATTGACTAACAGCTGTATTTTGAGGACCTTGTCTGCAAAGTGATAGTTTCACCCTTAGCATATTGAGTCCATTCTACATTCCTTGAACTCGTGTAGTAATAGTTTAGCATGGAGAATTGGATAGCTTACCTTGCCTCTTATGTTGAATAGAATTCTTACTGGCAATGTGCAGTACCTCTTCAATAGTTTTTGTAATGTTTGAAGATATTGAATTGCTTTAAATGTTTCATGATTTGCTCTGAGAAATAGTTAATTCCTTATTCATTACTACTCGTTCATTAGTAAAGTAGTTGTTGTCTGGTTGTTTTTCAGTGCATTACAATTGTTGCAGATCGCGCAATTTTCTTCTACAACATACGAGAAGCATTTTCCCGAAGCATTTCTTCTGTTTCTGGCACTAGGAACAACATTCCATTTGACTCGTTATCTCGACTGTGCTGGAGCCCTGACTACAATGCCATTGTGGTACACAAGGCTGATGCACAAACTATTGAAGTGCTTAAAGGCACCAAAAAACCTGATGGCACACTCACAGGGCTTGAAAAAGTCCGAGAGTTTCCTAAGGTGAGCATTGGAACCTAACATAAATCTTAAGTCTAGGCGAAAGAAATATTTTGGAACTGTTAGGTTTCTTCTGCTGTAAAGTTTGCTTTGAATTTCTTATTTATTCTTTTTTAATGCACTGAATTCGCTGCATGACTTTTGTACAGCTAATTCTTAGATTATTTTGAAGAGTACCTTTATACCCTTGGGACAGAACAATTTTCTTTACAATTCCCACAACCGTTCTACTTAACTTCTAAACTAGTTTTCTAATAACTTGCAGGTCTCATTCTGTTAATTCATTGCATGACTTTCATGTAAACGTTTATTTAATTCTTAGATGAATAGAATAGATAATAGCATATTATGTGCCAAGTCTAATGCCGCTTTGTTTGTTTCAGCCTATTACCGAGAGCTTGGTTGGGCTGAGCGTCGCTCCTGGCGGCCAGTTCATCATGACGTGCGAAGTGACTAACATTCTGTCCCTGTGGGACCTCAGAGGCGAGCTGCTCACCAGTATCGACACCAAACAGGGACACTCGCTCAGTGCCACGCTCTCGCTCGACGGCCGCTTCATTGCCACGTCTGGTCAATAATCCCTTCTTGATAGGACACTAGGACACTCTTATTCTTATTCCCTAATCTGCCTAATTTTTCTTGCTCCATGAGAAAAACTTGCTGAGCTCTATTTGGAGGACAAAAAGCCACGTACAGAACTAAGAAAAATATGCTTCAGAATCCAACTTCTTAAGATATGATTACCATGCAGTGGTTCAGGCTGAACACAACCTAACTACCTACTACCGAAGATTTGACTACTGTCAATGACACATATCTTACCACTCAGCACATACTGCACTTACCTCGTCGCTAAAAACTATGTAATACTGGTCAAAACTCCGACTTGTAAAGTTCTATAACCTCATGATATAACTGAGCTTTTTTGATCACTCTTGAAGGAGGTTTAGATTTGCTGATTAGCTGTGGCAGGTTATCGGCATTGACGGTAGGTGGTAGTTGCCTTGCGGCAAACACCATGCTCTTAGTTTTCTTCCTGTATAAGTCCCGCTAATAATTTGACTTGAAAATATCGCAAAATTTAATTATTTTTCTAATTTCTATTGATTTAATACTGTTACTGGAGTAATTGAGGTTTTATTTCTACAGGTTTTACCCCCGATGTTAAGATTTTTGAAGTGGCCTACGAGAAAGGCGATAATAGCTTCAAAAGCCTGAAGAAGTGCTTCGATTTGACCGGTCACAATTCTCGTGTCTTCTGCTGCAGCATTAACACAGATTCAAGTAAAATGGCAACCGTATCAAAAGATGGCACCTGGAGGCTTTATGACACCGCAGGTGAGCGAGCACAACTTCGGCGAGAATTGACCTGTTAGTCAGAGAAGTGCATTACGGGCTGGTATGTTGTACGTTAAGGGGAGCGGCTGGGTCCAAATTCGACAATTTCGTCTTTTCCGGTTTTTAGTCTCATCTTAAAGCTGACACTCTGACCTATCCAATGGTACCTAAACCATCTCTGTATGTTGATCTATGCCTTTGCTACAGATTCCGCAAAGGAGGGAGGTGGGGGAGTTCTTTCACATGTAACATAGGGAATAATTCCCATATTGCACTATATATAGCAAGTCTACAGACACTCAGCTCCAGTAACCTTGCGGCAGTTGTACGTGGTGGTTCCCGCACCGTCGCTCTCACCATCCTTGACAGAAATTGAGCTCCAGTATCGTCTAGTTGCATTCCTTGTAGTCTTGAATGCCGATTTCGAGGCGCCCGGGACTTTGTTGGGCTCTACTGAACATTCACACTTACTGTCACTGGAAACCTATCTCCTCCTAGAGTTTTGCTACATCAATGAGACCCCCTCAGGGGGGACTTCTGACGGGTGTCTGTGCTCGTCAGAAGTCCTATGGGATTTCGCGCTCCTAGGGGGATTGTTCCTGAGCGCCCCACCGCTGAGCTCGCGGTGTCTGACTGTAGGTCTCAGTTGTGGGGTTAAGTTATTATGTAGGCAGGATTCCTTACATTTCCCTTCTCTACCGCCCCTTGTGGGTGATGAATAATTGAGACCTTCCACCTTTATGGTGATGTTCATGTTGACTTTCGGTGCGAGATAGCTTAATAGCTGAAGCGCTAGTAAACATTTGGACACTAAACTAAACCACAACATCAATGAGACGTATACCGTTCGATTCGCAAATAAAAGATCTACAAACGTAACTAGGGCTTTTTTCAAGTTCGTTATAGTTCGGATTTTATTTTGCTAAAAGGTGGGAGGGCGGAATGGAAATCGAAAAATTTTGGAAAAAATCATCCCACACCTATAAAACTGAGAAATTAAAAAAAAAACAGAACTTACCTTTTTAGATATGGTCTTTACGCATCGAATGATATGTGTCTCGGTGTTGTAGCTTAAAAATCATAGGACTGATTAACTTTCTACAGTATCCCCTTTTTGGCCGTTTTCTAAGAATTTCACGTTTTCTTTCATTTTAAAAAAATTCACACGAACAAAAAAAAAAAACAGAATTACGTTTTACATATGTGTACCAAATTTCGAATCGATCCGTCTCGTAATATCCGAGATATTTTTACCCCAGACGCTCCCCTTAAACGCGTCCAGCTGGGCACGTGTATTGTACCTTACACGCGTCCAGCCTATAATTTTTTTCCGCCTATAAAATTTTCCAACCTATAAAATTTTCTCCTGCTGGTGTCTGAGAATCATGTCACTAAATTCGCAACTCGGATCAAAAATTGTATACGGAATGGAATCATGTTTTTTAGTACTTGAATTATTACCAGTACGTACCAATTAGTTAATTGCGTTTTTATTTCATTATTAGGCCATTTCAAATCCCAGGCGATTTCTGGACCTGAAGTTATATATCAAGGACCGGATAATTTATAAATTTTGCAAAATTACTCATCTAGCCATTTTCATCTACCACGTACTAATATGAAATATTTCAGTTTCAAACTTGTTCTTGCTTGAAATGATATAGCACTTGTCGCCTATCTCATTCTGATTACAGGCACCACATTTAACCCAATAAAATGCAGAGCCCTCGTACGATAAGGAACCAAGAAATTCTTTTTATGAATTAATATCATTGGCACACCAAGCTTCCCCTTCCCAAGGCCTATTACCCACGCATGATGTACCATCCGCAGTGGAGTACAGCAAAGGCCAGGATCCGCGGCTGCTGGTGACCGGCGCTGTGCCCAACGCCCGCAACTGCTCTGACGCGGAGGCGTGTCGGGTGCTGCTGTCCCCCGACAACAGAGTCGTGCTCGTGTCGGTCGTCTCGTCGGTGCTCTGCTTCTCAAGCTCCTCCGGCAATCTAGTGCATTCCATTGACAATATTTATGCTGGTGAGCTATCAAATTCTTTGACACTAATGAAAATTATGATAGGGCTTATACAGGTAAGGTTGTTTAAGAACTTTTATTTTATAATGATCACCTATTTGAGCTGGTAAACAGCGACTGTGATATTCACATTATTAGGATGCCTGTTAGTTACTTTCTGCCTGTCTGGTTGTAGTTTAATTACCAGAATATTTTGTTGAACCTTATGGTGACGTACAAGAATCAAAACTGCAATCCCGCGATAAGTCGCAGATTCAGGACAAAACTTGTATCGTAATTAATTTTCTCTTACCAGGTCCCATTGTAGATGTGTTCTTCGACGCAGCTAATCAGTTCTTCATAACAATTGGAGACCAGCAAGCACACATGTTCCACAACGTAGCTGGTCATTACACAACTATTGAGGTAAGCATGAGTAATGGACAGCAGCAGTGTGAGGACGAAATTGAATCTTATACGACATCGATCGAAATTTAATTGAGATTGGTAAATGAATGCATTTTACTGGCTGCTTTTCGATGCTCAAATTTCATTCTCCAGTGAATTCTTATTCAGTTATATTAAACAATCGCAAATTTAGGTTTGAGAGTAAAGGTAGTAAGATGTTCATGTACGCCATGACTTGGCCTAAGACGAGTGATCATTCGATCACACTACAAACTCAAGTTTTGTATTCAATATAATCTGATAACGTCTACCTACAACCGTATAATTTTCCAGCCTTGCAGTTGCTTTCGTGCTATTAGTTGACTATTTGGAGGATGCTTTAATGTATGGATCAGCTTTTATTGGGCTTGCACTTTAATGTAGTTGAATACTCTAAATATGCAATGCGCGGAAGAAATAACGTGTGTTACGTACCTTTGTTGAGCCAGATTATTCACACTTTTTACCTGGACTTGACGTTTCGATCTTACGTCCAATTGCTCCATCTTGCAGATTATAAGTTTTTAACTTAAGTGAGAAATATTCTTGACACGACGGACGTGGTGTCGGTGGTGTTTCATAGCTCTGTGGCAGAAAAATATTTTTAACGTTTTCTTCGGTGTTTTGTGCAATCATAGCAGTTTTTTTGTTAGAAAATCAGACAAGTTATTGCAATTTTTTATAAGAACGAAAGCATTGTGTAAAAAAAACCCTGAGCCTGTGTTAAATAATAATTAACGAATCTGCAACTTGTTTTCATAGCAATCAATATTATCACGGCAGTGTTTCTATGTGGTTGTTTTTGCTGGTTGTATTCTATTTCTTATAATCTAAACAATGGTTTTCGTGTGTTTTATTAGGACCTGGAAGTTTCACTGAAGTCAGCTGGATATGCTGGGATGAAGGAACGCATTCGGACTCAACTCGACAACGCAAGGAAGGCGCTTGCCAAGATTGATATGAAGAAGAAAAATGAAGCAGAAGATAACAAGAAGAAATAATTCCCTCTGCGATGATTCGTGTATTCATATAAAAAATTATAAACATCGCGATAGCAAAGCACATTTTTTTGAAGCCTTGAAAAAATGATCTTAAATGCAGTTGTATCTTTCGCAGATATCATTTGATAAGAGGTTCAAAACTTCGCGTGATGTTAGTTTATGCTCTCGGTGATTTTTATCCGGTATTGCGATTAAAGTCTGTGACAATGTCATACAAACGTTCCTCTGGGCTATTGCTTCAGAAAGTTTTGAAAATAATTGCACGATAACGTCCAGCTATTTCAATTCCACTCCTTGAATACGACGATGAACTTCACTAGAGTTTACCGGAATCTGCCATGAGATCAAGTTGAGCGCTACGCAAGCAGAATCACGTCTTATAAGCCTGAGATAGCTACCTTTTCGTGGTCACACTTGCAGTAATACATTACTGCCTTGTTTGCAGTCGTTGGATAGGAGGTTCCGCTTAGATTAATTAATTATTAAGTTCATCAATTTTTTTTGCAGAGTTCTAGTTAAAGAAAAATAGGCGGATTCAAAAAGCGTAGTCCGCCGATCAGTTGAAAATTTATAATGCAACAGGTTAAAAGCCGAAAATATTACAGCAACAACCGCTACGGGCAAAATATCTTCTGCGAGGCTGATCGACTTGCAAAAAATATTTTATGTTAACGTGCATTAATTACTAGTAAATAGATGACAAGCATGTACAAGATGTGTTAAAATGAGCATTTCTTTTTGACGCACAGGATTTTACAATAATCAGTAGTAGTAGTAGTACTGACGAAATTTTACTTTAAAACTTCAACTCAGAGTCAACTTCATTGTATCGGACTCAAGTTTAGATTTTGAACGTCTTCACCGTCGTGTAGGTTAGCACTGCGTGACTATTGCCGTCATCGCTTAGAAGTAATCACAGATGGTTGTTCTTAGTGCATCTTGTCATGTACAGAATCAAGGTATTTTATTCTGTAGAAAAGTGTTCGACACGGATTTGTAGCTATTTTAATATTTCACTTCGAATTTCATACAATTTTTATATCGATGTTGTGCCGTGAGAACCAATACTAGCTCACTACAAAAACCTTGCAGCTTCAGAAGCAGGAAAGCCAACGAGTTCCATTGAACACGAGGCAGAATTTCATTGTGCCTTTTTTATTCAAGCCCTGACCCTTTCCCATGGCATCGAAGAAAAACATTTAATCTTCGTAGCGCCTACAAGATAATTGACGCGAAGTATTCACATATTCAATACGGAAGTATTACTGGAAGAAGGACCTCGGTCGCAGGCATATTATATATTTTTCGGAGAGCTTGTCATGACTACATTACGAAGATAAATAAAAGTTTCGAGATTCGTACAGAAATGCATGGAACAAGAAATAAAATTTCTTTCCCAGCATGTTTTTTAGAACGATAGCCATGATCACTCGCTTAACAGAGAAAGTGTCATAGTAAATATATTCCCTCAAAGTTACACTTCAACCGACAGGCCTTGTTCAGAAAAGTTTGTTACAGGTAACTGTCATAATGTTCATCACACGGCCCAATCCTGAAAGCTCCTTGAATGAAGCTGACAAAAGCACGAGGCAGCTCATTACCTAAACGACCATAATTTTGCCTTATTTAACGAGCAAATGTAAATATTAATCGTCATTAATCCGGCATTCTACACAACACGAGCAAATGCAGTGCAGCCTCTCATCTGAACTGTTGCCTTAGCTACTCCTTGGCTCACAAACTTCAACGGATAAAATCTTCGATTTTCCGCCGGAATCGTGTGATGCCCACGCTAACTAAGTCAAGACAATAGCAAAGTTAGAACAATAACACCAATATACTTCACTCGATAAAACGACTCTCAGACCGGGATCCACCTCCCTCCCCTACCGACCTTACATTCCATCTAACGAGGCTTTGCATGCAGCACGAAATTTCGTCAGCTATCAATATATACAGCATTTATAATCTATTATTTAGCATTACCCAAATTCATCCTCTGATGTAAGGACAAACATCATTATTAGACATCTTAGAAGCAGATAGAGCGAAAAAGCACATTCTACGAAGTAGTCTTCAGTGTAATGTTGCCAGGATTTGGTCACTCCTTCATTATCTGCAGCAGAGACTAGCCCGTAGCAACTGGCTTATAGTCATTACGTGTCAACGATTAATCGAAATACTTTATAACATTAGATTAGAGATTAGAAAAATTATTATATCAGATAGTGATACCTACAGTGTTCTGCCCGAAAGAACAATTTGAAAACAAGGAATCGCTTCAGTGAGAGTGGTTTCACAATACACGACATGTAGTAGAGATTGTTCAGAAAAACGGCAGCTGTAGAATGACTGGAGATACAAAAGTTGTGCTTACTGCTCATTGAATGCTATACATCAGCGACATAAGACATTAAACGACCAAGTTTAAATGCAAATAGTGCACTGGAAGAGAAGGTAAACGGTCCAAGCGAGGTAGTATAACTGAAAAGTTTCCAGAGGCATCAAATTTTTGCCTCATAAGTCACGGCAAGCGATACACATGACTGAACATTTTTGGTTTTAACAGACGAAATAATCATAACTTCCATTATTTGACAGGATTAGCTTTTTAAAACCAAATTTCAATGGGTTTTTTGAACATTCAAGCATTCTTAGCTAGCATGAGATCCAACTACTTTGAAAAATAAATCAGTACCAAAAGCCTGAAGCTAAATTTCAGAAAATAAGCAAAATCATATGCAAAAATCCCATGTTCAAAGTTGGCATGACATGAAAGTCTTCTAAATTTCAAAAAAGCAATTCAATTTTTAGCTTCTGACTATAGCAATCTTATGTTAGGAGATTCAAAAAAGTGAGCTATTCAGTTGAAGCATAGACGGATAAAAAAAGCTTACTCTTGCATCCTCAATAAAACGAAGTTCTGATTTCCAAAAATAGAAGCATCTCTGCTAACGCACCGGTTTGACGTCAGAAAATTATTATGTGAAAACAAAAAAAATTACATAGTGAAAGACTTCGCGGCCAACCCTTACTGTCATTAGAAAGAAAAGACACGAGGCGAGAGAAAAAAATATTAGATGATCCTTGTAGAAAATAAATAACTTAAAGCGAGAGGTCGTATCCGCATTCTAGATACGTTGGCTACTCCGCTCATTGTGGGAAAAACTGATGGAGCATCAAACTGGAGATACAGATCAGCGATGACTGAATAGTTTTAATGTTTGTTTACGGCATATACATTTCTTGTAGTGCTGAGTCGACACAAACAACAAACTTGGCAATCCTGCATCATAGCAGAAAGTTAGAAGTGGTTGCGAGGGATTTGGAAATTATTAGTTAACGTCCAGTCAGCTTAGTCACATTCGCAGACAATTTCAGCAAACGATCATGAAATTATTCAGATGCAAGAGTAAAATAAAAGATTCAAAACTTGTACAATCCCTTATACGATGAACGCAGGGAACTCGAGACATAAGACTACTTGACTTCGCTGGAGAGAAAAATTATAGAAGCGAGAGAATAATTAGTTCGTCCACATTTGTGCTATTATTGACGCCTCGTGTTATTTCAATGTTAGTCTTATTGATGCCTCAACAGCACGCTGGCTATACAAGAACTAACGACATCGTCCCTTTCCTGCAGCACAACCGAGAAGGCATGCGTATCTCGGGCAGCACCCCGCGAGCGACCTTAACTACTATCATTAATAATCAATGCGAGGCGACACTATCCTCATTTACATTGAGGCGACGTGTCGGCTCCTAGAGAGACGGCATGACAGGGAAAAGCTGGAACTTGCAGGCAAGTCAAGGCTCCGGCAGAACTGCTTTCGAGTACAGCTTGTCCAAGTTCCCGTCCTCCTGCGAAGAACATTCCAGTAGCAAATTGGGGAATTGAAAGCTCATAATGCACGGTAATAAGTTATTAGGTACGATAATTGACACAACTGACATCGTACTGTCAATTCGTACAACTGACAATTAACTTATTCGGCACAACTATTGAGATTAATTATATATTATCGATGCCATTATATTCAATCAATAAATAGATAATGAGTGGCATAGTAATTGAGCGATAATAATACACAAGAACTTTATACACTCGTTATGTGTGGGATTTAAAAGCTAATTCAACATAGCAATTCAGAGGGAGTAAACTGCAAGGTGGAGCTTGCGTTAAAATTCAGAAACATAATATTACGGGTAATAAATATTCACTTTTTAACGCATTTTCTCATTTATGGAAAAAATGCACTATTGTGCTCGCCATGTCCGTCTGTCTGTCTGTCTGTCTGTCTGTCTGTCTGTCTGTCCGTCCGTCTGTTCGTGACCTCAAGTTTTCGTCGACGAGAAAATGCGCTGTCACTCACTGCAGTGAGTACTGAGTTATATATATTTTTTTCAATGGACGATCAAATCCCGCGGTCTAATTTTTGCTCTTAGAAGATGGAAGGGCATGAAGACCTGCACGCCTGCTGCAGGTCAAGTCGCCACAAACAGGTAAGCTATGTTACTTCGGTTGAATGCCGCGAGCCTCGAGATGAGTAGCGAAGCATCACACCGAACGCCACCCAACGCAAACTCAACACGGCATAACAGGGACAAATAACCTCAGGATAGTTGGCTCTTACTTCTAGTTAAAGAAGAGATACGAGACAAAGAAGTCAGCAGCATAGGTACCTTGTAGGCATGACAGTGCGCGATGACAGTCTGGGCAAGCCGTCTGATTTGCGCTGCGTCCGTCTCCTGCCGAACTCTCTCCAGGATCTCCAGGCCTCCTTCGCTCACCACCAAGTTGCAGTACTTGTCAGCTGGGGCAAAATTTACCAGTCATACACAAACACTAACAATAGGCAGCAAATAATAGCAGTGTTATTTGTAGTTTATAGGGATACCATGCTCATTGGGCTTTCAAGCTACAAATTCAATTTCGCACCGAAATATGCGTAAGATTCCAGAGCTCGAAATTTGCCAACTCATTTAAAGCAGACAACAAAGGTTTTAACTTGCATCTCCGTGCATAATTCAGACATGTTAGTTAGTTAGTTACATGACAGTAATCGCCAGCGCTTCGGAATAAATGATTAGAATAATAATCACATGAACATTGAATAAATCACACGTAGTCGGGGTTGAATGTATCATATGCAGTAGAATATATTTTCATTAACGGGTATTTCCCATTATTTTGCCCTCAGTTACACTATGAGGCGGTCAACATTATCAACCCCACGTTCTGATGGGGCCATGATAATGTTTAGGTGTACGTCGGGGTCATTTCAGGGCTGGTGAGGAAAAAGTCGTCGGGCATTACCAAAAGACCGGTACCCTCCGAGGAAGTGGATCTGTGGCACTAGGCATTCCAGGCAATAAGGGACAGGCAAGCGTGCCACGAGATTTCCATGGGTGATCCTGGTGTGTCCAATTCTGGAGTTAGCTATTTTTGATGCGTGTCCACTCATTTCGCCACTCGTCAAACATTTTCTCGCGGAAGATCGGGAAGAGCCACATTTGCATTCCATTGTTTTCGCTCGGTTTGGCAGCATCCTGAGCTGCCTCCATCACCGCGCCCCAGTTCCACCATCGTTAGTCTCAACATTCGGTTTGCGACAACTCGCCATGACTGAATCTACCAGGACAGCCCCGAAACCCCAGCCCCATGAACCTTTACTGCATTTCACAAGCCCCAGTCCCGGCAACGACAGGGCAACAGGGCAACATGGGCAGGGCAATTCAGGAATAATTCTCTACAGATTCTCAACAATAATGCAACTTATAGGACAATCTTCACGAACCCAATAGAATATTCAGTCACAAGCAGATCAAGTGCCTACACTGTCAACAAAAACAAGCGAAACGGAGGAGTAGAATGAACACTTGATATTTGTTTGGCTTGATATCAAATTGAGTTGATTCTAGAAAATCTCTGTATCATCCTGAACAGCGCAATCGAGATAAGGGCAATAGGTTCTAATTTCAATGTCCGTTATTTTAATGTTTATGTCTCATGATAATCTATACTTCTGCAAGTTTGCCCGATCAGTTCAAGAACAACAAATGCCTTGGTCTTTTATCTCCTTCGATTCGGCATGAACACAAAAAAATCACGATTTTGCAGCGGTTCAACCACTTCTTTTGGACACGGCATGAATGGCCAGTTCCTCATGCTGCCCGTTTCTGGAACTTCAAGACACTTTTTAGCTCAAACATTTTCACTGTCCGTGGTTTAATCAAAGTTAAATTTTTAATCAAAATTAGATTCCTACATACCTATTGCTCCTAACAGTACACTTGACTTTGCACCAAACACAGACTAAATATGAGTTTAAAAATTACTTTTTAAAGACAACAGTTCTGAAGAATCCGGTGTCTCCGATGTTACTACATGTACAATGATTTTCTAATTTTATTTTCAAATATTAAAAAATATATATACATTTTTTTCAATTATTTAAAAAAATTCAAATTTCAAAATTATTTATTCTGTCAATTGATTCATGCATTGTCTCCGACTTTACGCAAGTGTGCAAAATGTAAGATCGATTGGAGAGGTAGAAGTGTGTTAAATATTGATAAGATTTGTGGCAGACAGACAAACGACAAACAAACAACAAGTAGTGAGTTGAAAAGAAGTGTTGTTAAAGAATAATATGAGTTGAAAATTACTTTTTAAGGGCAACACTTCTAAAGAATCCAGTGTCTTTGATGTTACACGTGTACAATGAATTTCTAATTTTATTTTCAGATATTAAAAAAATTAGTTTTCAAATTTTTTTTAATATTTAAAAATGTTGTAAATTTTCAAAATTATTTATTCTGTCAACTGATTCATACATTGTCTCTGACTTTATGCAAGTGTGCAAAATTTCAGATCGATTAAATAGTATATATACGTGTGTTATATATGGATTATAAGATTTGTAGCAGACAAAATTATTTTTTACAATTTTTAAATTGAATTTTTTTATTTTTAAAATTATTTATTCTGTCAATTGATTCATGCATTGTCTCCGACTTTACGCAAGTGTGCAAAATTTCAGATCGATTGGACAGGTAGAAATGTGTTGAATGTCGATTATAAGATTTGTAGAAGACAAAATTATTTTTTACATTTTTTAAATTGAAAAAAAAAATTTCTAATTTTTAAACTTATATATTCTGTCAATTGATTCGTGCATTGTCTCCAACTTTACAAAAGCGTGCCAAATTTCAGATCGATTGGAGAGGTAGAAGTGTATTAAATATTGATTATAAGATTTGTAGCAGACTGACAGACAAACAAGAAGTGAAGTTAATGAGAAGTGTTGTAATAATAAACTTGAGGCATTACTAATATGGCTGCAGGAGGCGACAGGTGGCAAGCACGGCAGGGAGCTGTATTGGTTGGGTCTTAGTGTGGCGTTGCTCGATATTCCTGAGATTTGAGATTGGGATCTTCTCTGCTGGGATGACAATAATTCTCAACTGAAGTGATATTAATTAATGAGGTCTACTTACGGTAGACGAGGGCAGGTCTACTTACGGCAGATGAGGGCAGGTCTACTTGAGGTAGACGAGGGCAGGTCTACTTACGGTAGACGAGGGCAGGTCTACTTACGGCAGACGAGGGCAGGTCTACTTACGGCAGACGAGGGCAGGTCTACTTACGGTAGACGAGAGCAGGTCTACTTACGGTAGACGAGAGCAGGTCTACTTACGGTGGACGAGGGCAGGTCTACTTACGGCAGACGAGGGCAGGTCGACTTATGGTAGACGAGGGCAGGTCTACTTATGGTAGACGAGGGCAGGTCTACTTATGGTAGACGAGGGCAGGTCTACTTGAGGTAGACGAGGGCAGGTCTACTTACGGCAGACGAGGGCAGGTCTGCTTACGGCAGACGAGGGCAGGTCTACTTACGGCAGATGAGGGCAGGTCTACTTATGGTAGACGAGGGCAGGTCTACTTACGGTAGACGAGGACAGGTCTACTTACGGTAGACGCGCGTGAGGTTGGCCAGAGCCCAGGCGGCCCAGTGCTGGCACTGAGGCGTATGCTTCACGGCCAGCAGGCGCAGGATGGGCTCGAAGGACCTGAAATTGTCATACACGTCAGAATTCCAAGAAAAAATTCTGTCAATTACAAATTACATAGCGACAAATAAATGCAGCAAATTACAGTCGGGCATAACGACATGAAGAGCGAGGCTTTGAAGCAACGTTCTACCAGTGTGCTCCATTGTTCATGTTTTTTTGTCATATGTACACTTAATATGCAGTGGGAGGACATCAACAAAGGTACGACAGACATTGAAGTTCTAAGGCCACACAACCCAACAGTAAATTGAGGCTCAAGTGGACTAACGTTGTTCATACGGTCACGCACACGAATACCAGTGAGCACGAAAAGAACGAATATGAACACAGACAATATGATGCAACCGACAGCTGCTAGTCCCCAGAATTTATACCCCCACCGTTGAGCACTGCAGGTACTGGCAGCTGCTAGTCTCCAGAACCCACACCCTCCCCACTACAGGTACCGACAGCTGCTAGTCCCCAGAACCCACACCCTCCCCACTACAGGTACCATCATGATATCATCCTCTCAAGACTGTGATTGGCTGATAGGATCATGATCTCATGCTATCCAGGTTATGACTGGTTATGGGATCATGATGTCATGTTATCCAGGCTGTGATTGGCTAAGCAATGGCCGTTCCATTGGTCATTTAAAACCCCCTAGAATTTCACCTTGCTCCCCACTATAGGTACCGATAGTTAATGTTGCGCCGCACTTCGATGTCCCACTTGTTGATGGCGGAGGTGAGGGCGGCGAGCACGACGTCCCTCTTGGGCCGCTCGATCACCCAAGTCTCGGGACCGTCGCTCGCAATGTGGCTCAGCACGCCTGCTGCGTTGTAGCTCACCTGGACAATGAACACAAATTGAGATATTCAAGCTAACAATGCAACAGTACAGGTTAATCATAGGAGGTCCTGTATGCGAGCTGTACAATCTCAGTCATGAAGATAGCAGAAATGACCATCCATGTGGTCTGTAAAAAAAATTTTGCGTCAAAGCGCCCAATTTTGAGCAAACATATTGTTAGGCAATGATATTTCACCAAGTTATTCTATATGAAAACTCCTTATGATGTATTGACACATCAGTAGGCTATGCTACAGAGCTTGCAATCGATGGCTAGGAGTATATAAAAATTATACAGGAAAGTTTAATCTATGACGTTCATTTTATAATAGTGGTGGTTGAGGATTAATCTAATGCCAAAGAATTCATGAGCAATTCACAATATTCATGCACAGGGTGGTTGTGAGAGTTGTTTACAAATCAACTCACAAATCGAACTTTATTTAATTCATTCATCGATTCTGTGCCCAGTGATACTAAAAAATTAAATAGTAATCATAAACGGGCACAAATTTAGGCCATTGAAATATGTGTGAAATATTTCATATCCAATTTTTTTGCAACAGAGAAGTGTTGGCTAAGCATATTCTGAAATATTTGATAGCTGAAGTCTATGCAATCCAATTCATTTGATGTATAATTTAAAGAAATAAAGAGGTAGTGAGCAAATGGCCAACCTCTATGCCGCCTGAGCTGCTCTTCAGCAGTCCGGTGAAGGTGTCGATGAGTTCAGGGGTGAGGAGACGACAGCGCAGATGACGCACCTCTGCCACGTTGCCCAGTAGCCCCATCATGTTGCGTAATAGATCCTCGTGTTCCTTGAAGGTCTGGCAAGGAGCGCGAGTTTTTTATTTACAAATCAAATTGAAATAAATTCATCCTTTATAGGAGGGATAATGCATTGAACGACCAACACCCTGAATCTCGTTACAAAAAAGTGACGTTAGCATCTCATTTAGACGTAGTTTGTAATTGGGAGTGAGGGTGTACTTTCAAAACGTGTTCAAGAACACGTAACGGCCTGAGTACATCTAGTCACCAATTTCACGTCCTCGATGGGTGGATTTAGCTTGAAGAGACGTCAGTGGTTGGCTGACGGTGTTATGAACACTAACAACTATTATTGACAGTACGATCACCGAGGGTATAAGCTGTAGAAACGAAAACACTTACAAAAAATGTACCGCAAAAAGAGTGGGGGTTAAAGAACAATGCACTGAGAACGCAGAATATACAATATACTCCTTAATATACAATTGATCAAAAAACTTTTGATGCAAAGTAACAAATAAATTCAATTGTGGTAGAACTGTCCATTTTATACGCCATCAAATGCTCGTACCAACTATTCACGTCAGCAGATTTAGCTCCTACAGATACTTTGTTATTGTGTTCATAGTTGAGGACCAATTCTTCCAAGGTCCTTCCACATAAAATTATTTTTGTTAACGTGTGATTCTCATACAAATTTAATGGTAGGCGTAAGAAGAATGACAATTTCAAACATAATATAAAATATTTGGAATAATTTAAGTTGATGGTGCAAAGAACTATTCATATGCTACTGTAACATTGTAAAGATTTTATTTTAGTCATGCCCCACCACTGACCTGGAGGCAGTCACTGAAGTCATGCCCCACCACTGACCTGGAGGCAGTCGCTGAAGTCATGCCCCACCACTGACCTGGAGGCAGTCGCTGAAGTAAGTCATGCACCACCACTGACCTGGAGGCAGTCGCTGAAGTAAGTCATGCCGCTGCCGTCCAGGAAGCGCTGGCAGTTCCGTGGTGTCTCGTCCGTGACGTTCCACATGACACTCCACGCGAGCTCGAGCATGTCGTCGTGGGTCTTGGTCTTGAGCTTGTCACTGATGAGGCACAGCATCGTCTGTAGGAGAGAGGGAGTATCAACAGACACGTTCATCATATGTTGGAGAGAGGGAGTATCATCAGACACGTTCATCGTATGTTGGAGAGAGGGAGCATCAACAGACACGTCATCGTCTGTCGGAGAGAGGGAGCATCAACAGACACATCATCGTCTGTTGGAGAGATGGAGCATCAACAGACACATCATCGTCTGTTGGAGAGAGGGAGCATCAACAGACACGTCATCGTCTGTAGGAGAGAGGGAGCATCAAAAGACACGTCATTGTCTGTTGGAGAGAGGGAGCATCAACAGACACGTCATCGTTTGTTGGAGAGAGGGAGCGTCAACAGACACGTCATCGTCAGTAAAGATGCGCATGATCATTCCCATCTTTATGTTGACGACTTAATTTAATTTACGATACCAACTGAGCAACACGATCATCACCTCGACAGCGCCGAGATCGCCGACCAGCTGCCTGTGTTGCCCCTCCACCTGGCACGCTAAGCTGTTCAGCAAGTAGATGCTGATGCGGCACACAAAGTCCGCCATGTCGCGCTCATTGTTGCTCGTCGAGTTGCTCACGTTCCCTCGGTGTCGGATCACCACCAGCAGCAGTGACACTAGACGTTCGTACTCAAATACCTGCGAGCACAAAAAAAAAATTTAACGTAAAGAAAAGAAACTATGTTACGCACACATCACAGTGTCAGGCCGTGATGTCATTAGCGACTATTACGTCACCTTCTGTGACGTCACTACTCGCGGGTCACCGCGTATATAAGCTGAGAAAGCGCACCGTTAGTCAGTCGTAGACAAGCAGTCTCAGTCATAGGCGGTAGGCAGTCATCGTAGAGCCTGCAAACTCAAGACGAGCTCACCTCGTCTTAGGCTCCGGCACTCGCAACCAACACGCAGTGTCGTTACTCTCCATCTCCAAAATTACTGCACTTACTGTGCTTTGATCCTGTAACTTCTATCTAGTGTATCCCGTGAACCTATCTTCAATACTTACGCTTAGTTACACGTCTTGTTATTATCCTTCCCTGGCCAATGAATATTTAATATGTTATTCGGACAATTATAAACGAACCCAAACCCCTCAGGTTTTAACTAATTGATTTACTAGATCAGACAGATCCTTTCAAGGTTATGACTGTCAACCTTTGACCGAGAAATATAAACTTTGACAACAGAACGCCTAGCTTGGTACCAACACATCAATGTTCTAAAGCCAGCTAACTCAGTTCATAGCAACAGGGAGCTCTAGTGTATTGCTCATTTCGTACCATTTGTTACACGAAGATTTAAAAATAGTGTAATGGTGGAAACTTTAAAGTTTCTCAATCATATTACCGACCATTTGTAAGATGTCTTTTTGCAGAATTTTTCAAGAATGTTAACAAAATTTGAGATAATTAACTAGCTGCTGAGCCACGTAGAGAACATAAGAGTTGTCAACGGCCTTGCAGTTCAATAGGCACTTTAGTCTCATTGTTGTCGACTAAGAGCAATGCCAAAAATAGATTATCTAGTTAAAGAAATGCAGGAGCATTTTTAAATAGTTCCAATCGAGTCGCAGGTTGTGTGAACATTTATTGAGAAGTTTACAGGGCTGCATGTAAGCGTAATCAGAGCTATGCGGACAACTCAGGTTCTCGAGAAAATGTAAATGTGTGATAGGCAGACACTCTTACTGACCACACATTAATAAAGCTGCCAATACCAACGGCTTACTTGCATGAACTCTCACATAATATTACGCTGAGCGAATCAGATTGCTATATATATACCTGCTTTATCCAGCACCAGGATTTTCACAATAACCATTTTTAAAACTTATCCTTCTGATAATTTAAATCAAAACAAATATTATACAATATAAGGTATAGAATACGGTATCTAATTCATTTCTGTAAAACTATTCATTAAAACCAAATAAAACATAGGATGTATAGTGTCTAATTCATTTCTGTACAACCATTCATTAAAAACCAAACTGTTAACACCCATAACAGTAAAGCTATCCTATTTCTTCCCCCCCTCCTCGTGATGCGAGGGCGACACAAAAACAGCACAGGACGGGCGAGTGATGTGCTCACCACTTGCTGGGGCACTTTGAGCTGACTGATGGTGAGGCAGCCATTCCTCATGAGGATGTTGTCATGGGGGAACCTCTCCATGGCGTTGATCATGAGCGTGACCATCTGTTGTCGTGCAGCGGCCGTCACCACGGGGTGGTCCTGAGAGTCCGCCTCGAGCCGCATGATGTAGAACAGCGATGCGCTGTACATCACAATATGCCATCAGTCATCTTGTACACTAAGAATATTTGCTCGATGCAGATTATACAGATATCAACTGCTCGTTGGTCAGAAAAAGTATATAAAATGATCACTTTAACATGAGAAGATTGCATATGAATGGCATTAATAAGCAAGTCATTTTGACTGAGCACAGCGTGATGTTCGCTTTCCATCTGGCAAAATGGATGTTGTCATACATAGTAACATAAAAGAGCATGATATTGACTGAGCGCAGTAGTAAAGGGCAAATAAGAGAAAATGCTCTCATTCATATTGAAAAATATTATTTGTGACAAGTATCCTGATGTAACCCTGAAATAACTTGGCACCAAACTTGGTAGCGCTGAAAACCCCGTATATAACAAAACACATTCACGTCAAACTGAGTACAAAATTCCAGATGTCTTAACCCTGACTAACAGACGAGCGTTTAATCAACTCTCGTCATCACCAGCGCATCGTTCTCAAACCATTGTGCTAATGAAAAACATATAGAAAGAATTGGGATTCTGAATAGGAACTAATCCAAAAGATGGAATCTAACATGAATTGCTTTGAAAATTTGCACCGCTTTGAAATTCCGCACCGCTTTGAAATTCTGCACTGCTTTGAAAAATTTTCCACTATGCCACAAAATTTAGCACCGAGATGAGGAACAAATATTTGTGATTGCCTTAGTGAGAATATTATGCCGAGTATATATTGGCATGAGCGTTGATGCAACGATTTGAGTACTACCTGTAAAAGGAGAGGATTAACTTGCAGTTACTGAACATATGAACTCAGTGCAAAAACACAGATTCTAGACAGAGTTTTGGTATAGGTACATAAAGAGTTAAGGACTGATGTGTTACTGCAGGCAATCATGACTGGGGCAGTCGGAATAAAGACAAACTTACACAGATTTGTCCAGTGCTTAATTCATCTGCTGGTGCAAGTGACGCGGAATTTTTTTTAAATTTAACTACTTCAGGGGCTAGTTGTATTTTACTCGATTTATTATGCTTATTAAAACTCGAAAAACAATAATGCTAAAATATGGCAAATCTACTTCCCCATTATTCACCATTAATTCTCGTATATCTCTTTAAGCTTCATTATAACAGTTCATAAAAACATTCTATTGCTTGCTCATGCTAGAAATTCAACAGAGCCCTCCTACCTGCCGGAGATCTGAACGTGTTCATCAAAGTGGAAGAGTGTCATGGCCTGGGCCCTCCTACCTGCCGGAGATCTGAACGTGTTCATCAAAGTGGTAGAGAGTCATTGCCTGGGCCCTCCTACCTGCCGGAAATCTGAACGTGTTCTTCAAAGTGGTAGAGAGTCATGGCCTGGGCCCTCCTACCTACCAGAGATCTGAACGTGTTCATCAAAGTGGTAATGTGTCATGGCCTGGGCCCTCCTACCTGCCGGAGATCTGAACGTGTTCATCGAAGTGGTAGAGTGTCATGGCCTGGAAGATGAGGCGCATGGCACGCTGTACGTCCTGCACAGTCTCGTAGCGGAACTGATGGAAGAGCTCGTTGAGGGCGGTCGTCACCTGCTCCTTGCACGGCATCAGCACCTCCACCGTCTCCAGGATCTGTAGCTCGTTGGCGTCACCCAACACCTGCCATACATACGCACTGATTATAAGTGTTTAGGACTTGTACAAAATTCAACCTCATAAATATTGTTGGGTTAAAATGACCAAAATGAGACCGATCGATTCAGAGAAAAAAATAATACGACAAAGACATCAAGAAAAATAACACAGTAAAATCATATGTTACGTCTAAGTAAAAAGCCGAAGTGCGCTCATAATGAGCTACTCTAGGATTCTTATGAAAATGAATTGGGTGCATTAATACTCAGGTCCATGGCCAATGTCCCCTCATGATCTCATTTGCCCAGAAATTCAGGAACTATTAAATTGAATGCAAAGCCTTAAATAAGCAAATTCAATAAACCTTCAAATTCTTAAAGCAAAATTAGGGTCAGGTGAGGCCATAGGGTGAATAAAGTGAAGTGAATTGCTATGGGCAGGTATAAAAAATTTATTAATTTACTGAAGAAAAGTTATTACTCCGATGGCTCAGGGAGTCTTGGAATTAGAGCAGTGGCTAATATTCTGGCAACAACAACAATAGTTCAGTGGTAATGTAAACTTCCTCCACGTTTCTAAGGCGAACTGAGCAATTAATTATTTCTTGAGATAAATTCAGCCAAGAGAATTTACTTCCACAATACAGAGAGGTTTTGTGCTTCTTGACCTGCATAGTGAGCCTAAAAATACAAGCAGCATTCAACTTGTAGTTGTTTGTTATCATCAGGAATGCACTTTCAAAAAATTCTATCAAAACCATTAAAGATGAATATGCTCAAAATTATAATAAAAGAGTGGTAACTTGAGAGTCACGGATCATGCAATAAACTAACTAAGTCAAGGATAAAAGAAGTCTCCTTTGCTCCCGAATCACGCCCTCCATTAGAAACTAAAGTATGTATTATACACAGTACACAGTATCTAATAAATTCCAGTGAATAAGAACATTCTCTGTAATTTTAACTGAAGAGAATTTTTTGGGGGCTTCCAGATGAAAAAAAATCAACTTCCTGGATATTACTGCAGTTTTTAGCGCATTTTCTCATTTATGGAAAAAAATGCCCTATTGTGCCCGTCCGTCCGTCCACTTGTCCGTGACTTCACATTTTTGTCGATTTTGAGAAAATGCGCTCTCTGTCACTCACTGCAGTGCGTATCGAGTTATATTTTTTATATAATTGGCATTTTAGTTGGTAAGTTTAGTGCAGCAATAAGTGGCTGGACACTCATGTCTTATAAACGGCAGAAAAAGTGACATATCATACTTTGATAGCAGGCAAGTTGGGCCACTTGCAGGCCTCTTCAGTGGTGTGGCAGAGCCCCAGCACCTCAAGAGGTCGCCCCACGCGGCACCGCAGCGCAGGAATATCTGTGTGCCCAATCAGCGAGCCATTCCCGTCCTGTGGCCAGGATGGAATAGTAATTTATTCTGATGGAACACTAACAGGAATTGCTTCAGTTTAGAGAACAGTCCCCATGAGTGATTACCAGAGCAACTGAAATGTGGTTCAGTACTAGATCCTACAGCAAAAAAAAATAATAATAATAATAAAAATAGTTTGGCCGTCATTATTTGGCACTAGGCTACGTTATTCGCAACCAAAGTATTACATCATAGCACTAAGCTGTAAATATCAACAAGCCATTTTTACCCAGAGATTAAAGCTACTTGGGCTCCTGAACTCTCCTGTCTCAAGTTTAGACAACATACAAAACAATTCAGTTTTGTTAATAGAAAATTTAAAATGCTTGAATAAAAGATAACTTTGGCAGTTGGTAGGCTATCAATCTTTTCTGACAAAGATAATTTGCTACCAAAAGAATTGTTCAAACACCCCCATGCTTGTGTTGCTTCAAGTTATGAATCTGTTTCTCAGCAATAATCACAGGCAATTTTTATCATGAATCTGTTGCTCAACAGCAATCACAGCCAACTGTCACCCCGTACTTGCCCTAAAATAGTGGCAATGAACCACAAAGAACAAACCATAATAAAGGAATATTTTAATACAACCAATTTATTGATTACAACTTCGAACTGAAATTTTTAATGCTATTGTCAACCAAAAATTTTTTATGATACAAAAAATTCCATACATTTTTATAAGGACTCAACTAAGGGTTGGATGATAACCTAATGTAAATATTAAGAGAGAGCATGAAAAGATTACTTAGGTAATTAATAGCTTGCAGTAAGCTTGCCATTTATATAAGGAAATATAATTTGTCCACATTATTGCACAAGCCAATCTTGGTGCCTTGCTTCATCCTGCATCAGTTGGAAAAATTCAAGCTAATCTAGTTAGGACTGTGGTTCCTTCACACAATGATATGGAGACTTAAGATGGAGTTGCAATACAATGTTCCCACAATTTGCTATGAAGGTGAAATTACACAAGTTGAAGTAGAAGTACTCACAAAAACTGGTTGCGTCTTCTTGGTACCACAAAGATTTGTGCCCGAAATATCCAAGTATGTCAAGTTTGGAAGATTTTCAACAATCTTCTCCAGTAGCACGTCACTATTGGCAAACTGACAGTTTTGATTCTTACTGCGAGATATGTCGAGTCGCCTGCAAATATCAAAACCAATAGTCAATACAATAGAGTTTAACACTATAAGTTATTATCGAAAAACAGAGAAATATTAACTAAACTAAAAATTATAAAAATTAATTTATTAAGACAATAAAAGTTGAAATTACTGAAAAAATGATTGAAATCAATCATATATTACAATTTTGAATTTCACTCCCATTTGCCTAGCTATTATACAATTCAGTTCATGGTAGTATCTTGCAATGAGAGAAAAATAAATAATTTTAAAATTAAAAGCACTTATCCCACCCACATCTTGCTGGATACTCCATCATAATTCATCAACAATCTAAATACTCTGCATCATACCTTACAAAACTAATGCTTCTCTTAAGAGTGCAATATTTCACCAGTTGAATTTTACTGAAGACTAGAATGACTAGTCTTAAATTAAATTAAATGCCCATTTAATCTTTAAATACAAATTACTTGTACCATAATAGCTGGGAATGCACACTTTTGAAAATGAGTTCAAGCTGAATTTCAAATCTCTGGAAAATTACCAAATCTCTGGATAAGCATTTAATAGAATAAAAATAATAATGCAATGCACATACCTAACCTAGTGATTTCAAATGCAATTTTTTGTTTTTGATAGTTTATTAATATAGGGATTTGTTGAATGCGGTAGTACCTACTATACACCAATCAAATATTAACTAATTAGAGGAAAATGTGAAGCAAAAAGTTATATACATTTACTCACCTCAGGTTAGATATGAGAGGTATAATAAGGAGCCAATCTTCAGAAGCATTGCAATTGTGAAGAGTCAGATTTATAAGAGGTAATGACACAAATGGGGACAGATCATCAAGCTGGTCTGAACCAGACAGGTCTAGAGATCTTAGGTTCTTGAAATTGGACTGTTTCATGAAGCCTGATAGAGATTCATCGGAGATGAAAGCATTATTGATGACGAGGCTGCGTAAATCTGGCATGTTCAGGGAGAGTTTACTTTTAGGTACATCATCAAAAAAACCACTGCCCACAGCAAGTGACTGGAGATGATGCCCTTTCTCCTGAACAGTATAAAACGAAGTGGATGAAATGTATTTGCAGTCTCTCACATCAAGATGTGTTAACTGATGCTGGAAAAAATATTTCACGCAGTCATCGTCTGCATTACAACCTCTTAAAAGTGCCTTACGGATTTTACATTTTTCAGGATGCCTAAATATTGACAAGTTGAGGCTGTTGGCTTTGTTGGGGTAGTGGGTACAAAATATGGATAGCAGCAATTCAGATATTTCTAAAGGAAATCGATACTCAGGAGCGATATCAAGGAATACATCACTTTCACATGTCTTGTCAAACTGATGTATCACATTTTTTTCAACAATCTCCATAGCATTGTCAAGACTGTCCTCCATCAGAGTTTCTGAATCATCAGCAGCAAGATTTATAGAATTGCTAGTTGAATCTTCAGAGAGTTTTTCATGATCTTTCTTGCTGGAGATGGTGTAGGTGTGTGGGTGAAGACAAGTTTGTGCTGCAGCCAAGAACTTCAGAGTGGTCGGATGGTTGTCCACCCACCCAGGGTGACCCTGAGCCCCAGCAGTCATCTGTCGACACAAAATAATTGGCCTTTTCAAGAGATTCAAACCAATTAAAATTATTGCTCATCAGTAAACATACTAAAATTTTAAAAGTAATTTCAAAACAAGAAAAATTGGACAAGAAAAAGATGCTAATTAGCAAGAAATATACTGATTAAGTACAACATTAATAAGAAATAATTGCAAGATAATAATAAATCACACAATGCATTATCAAAGTTTTGAATTTTTTAGAACATGTCCTGTCAGCTTTGTGTCTCTAGTTATTAATTTGCAAGTTTACCTATTGATAAGTTTCAGACCTCTGTTGAATAAATAAAATTGTATAAATAAATTGAATTGTATAAATAAAGTGAATTGAATACATAACAAGCTGGAACCCTATTTCACTCTTTGTTCCTGGCACTTTGGTTCATTACTGTATATTAAATCATGCTACCTAACATGGCTTTCTTTTCCATCTGATGGATGGTTTTACTTCGTGTTGTTATTAATGCATGTGTGTTCTTCCTTTTTTGTTGGTAACAGACACCTGTTAGAGTAATTGATCAATGGAAAACTGTAGCACGCCCTTCAATCCCTTGTCTGTAGAGTTTATTTTTGCACAGCCTCATCATGCTTCAATTCAAAATTGTTTATATCTGATTGCCAACCACTACCTACATTGCATGAAAAATATTCAGCATGAACTCAAGTTATCTTCTGTTGTGCTGGACTGCTCCTGTTAGCCAAGCAACTCTTTTGCTCCTTAAGGGTGAATTGCACTGAATTCATCTAGTCATGCACTAGGATTCCTGCGCTGCTCTTTGTCCTTAACTTTACTGCAATCAATTTTACTTGATTTTAGTTCATAACCGTACACACGACTTTAGTTTATAACCATCCACAATGCTAACTTTTGGACAAGAGATGCTTCTATACCACAACTGTCTAAAAATGACAATTGCTTTTTATTATAGATTTAAAAATGCAGCTTTGAGTTTATATTTAAAAATATAAGGTAAAAATTAAATATTGGTCATTTATATATACAGTTTAAAAATAAATGAATAAATAGACCAGATGACAATTTTTTTCCTACAGAGTTACATTTTGCTAACAATTGCATAGCCAAGTGTATGAATGCAGAAATGTTGAATCACTTAATCTATGACTCAGCTTGCAAGTTCTTCATTAAAACATTAAAAGACTATGATACATGTACTGTCAAATGGGGTATTAAGGGATGGGTGGGGTAAATTGGGACAGTCATACCACATTTTAGAAATGTTATAACAGCTAAACTAGTCAAAATATTGCAAAAATTTAAAATAGAGTCATAAAGTTGAACATTTTTACTTTCTATGTAGCATAAAGTAAATTAAAAAATCATATATTTACTACCTCTAAAAAATCCCTGAGAAAAAGTGTGAAAAGTGAGATTTTGGAAATGTACCTCTGCTTAGGTCTGTAGCAAAAAAATATTTGCTGTATCAAAAAACTTTACTTACATAAAAATTGCACACAGGTGCTGGCTTAAAACGTGATTGACAGAATTTGCGTATCTAATAAAAAAACTGGCGACCATTCCGCAAGACGGGGTAATCCCCCCAGGGTAATAAGGCACACTCCTGTCCTAAAATGCATTTACAGGAGAACCTTAACTAGCAAAGGCTCTGGTTAATAAAAAAATCAATCAACAACTTAAAATTCTGATAATATTTACTTTGCTCAGAGAAAAAAATTTCACTCGTACAAAATTAATGCATCATCGTGTCACCGGCCAGAGCTACTACAAGCCAATCTAAACGTTAGGCCTGTAACTCACTATCAGGATCGAATGCTCACCGCTCATAGGCCAGGAAAATATATGAATAAATTCCAGGCTACTGTGCTCAATCATCTAACATACAATGCCGTTCGACTCTCCTAGTCATCGTCAGTTAAAGCCGGTTCAGTGGCTGTGGTATATAATCACGACAAAGCACACTTAAAATAGTTTATTCAATCACTTTGTTTAAAATCAGTAAAATCAGGTAAAGGGAAAGCACAAATTCAGACTAAAATAACTATTATAAGAAACGTTCAAATTGGTTCAATTCCATTTACTATTGCACCGCATTAATGCACGTAATTAAGGTTACCGTAATTCGCATAGGCGAACGAAAGCAGGTTAGACTAAATAGTCACGGCACAGCCACGACTCCAGCGCTAAAGCACAGAATGCAGAGAGTTAACAGAGCTGAGCGGGTTCAGGAATGAACCTCACTGTAGGGCTGGCGGGACACGACTGACTACCTGACGCACAGACGCTCAGACCTGACCTAGTACTAGACAGTTCCAACTGCTATAGGTCTGACTCGCATGTCACTGGCGCGGCTTCGCCAGACGTACCGTAATAGAATAATTTCGTCACAAGAAAATGCACATTGAATAAATTAATGAACGATGTTCCTCGTTCACAATCGGTAATCACAAAATCATGCAGTGAATGTCATAGATAGAATAGTGCGCCAGGCAACTTGAAATGAAAAGTAATTAACCTAAACCATGATTCATTTCCCCAAAAAATATGATGGTTGCCTATAGAATATTCCTTTCCGCTTCAGGTATGTTTTACAATCTTTTTTTGTTATACCGTCAACTGGGGCTACTCGGGACGGGCGGGGTAACTCGGGACAGTCCTCCGTCACGGCGTAAAACTGTTTTAGTAGCAAAACTAATTGGAATGTTGAGTCAGCAATTGCTTGACAGTTGCCTTCAGCGACTAATTATCTAATATACGTCACCCTCAGTGACGCTTTAAAGGATTGTACGTCTTGTCATACGTAGCTTGCGATTCTACGCGGTGGACCGCGATAGCTCTTTAAGACTCACGAGTCAGTTGTAGGAGAGACCTCCGAGCATCCACAACATAGTCCTACGCTCCGGCCGTCGATAAGCTTCTCTATCAAGCAGGCCGATTCTTTCCCTCTCTGAGATTGTATCCTCATAGTGCCTATTGTAAAGTCTTTAGCAAGTAAACTGTTCTGTATTCCTAGACTTTCACTCCTGTTATAGCAAAGACAATTAATGACCCCCATACCTTCAGGTCATATTATATTTTCAATCAGAAATTGACAATACATTAATTAATTACAATCCACGCTGTTACCGGGAGGCCTGTACCATATTTTTCACCCAACCATCTGCTCTCTATGTATGAATTATTGTTGAATTAATGTTTACTTATTAATTATTGTTGAATGTATGTTTTCTTTCTGTTTTTTTCAGCCTGTAAACTAATTCTATTTATTGCAACTTGGTCAATTATTGTGATAATGATTCGAGGACCATGCAAGTGCAGTTACTGATCCCTAAATTGACGAGTCATTAAGTGGAACTGCCACAAGTTGTTGGTGAGTCTAGTTAGGTGTGATCCTTTTAATTACAAAGATGTTTTGTAAGTGTCCTATAATTCTACTACCTGCTAATCTGATTAATTAGCTTTGTTTGTGCTTTACTTTTCATCTAATGTTTATTGCAATTCTTATTTAAACTGTCATTTGCTTGCAATTTATTCTTGAATGCTTTGATTTTGTGTGTTTATCTTGAAAACTTCATAACTTTTACCAATTACTTGAATGGTTTTTCCTGGTTCTGATTTTAGCTTATCTTTGCAAATGTTTAACTGATTCCACTCAAAATATTATAATGTTTGTCTGTTTTGTTTTTCATATTTCTTGCTTGCTGCACGCAACCAGCTTGCCATCAATTAAGAATCTATTTTAAGTATTTATTGCATCAGTTTTAACATTCAAGTTCCCTTCAGGCTTATTATTATTATCTAGTTGGACAGGTTATTGATTTTTGTTCTCTTCATTTTTCAGTTCATCAATGACGGAATATGTGTAACCCTGTCCATGCTCCCTTCCCCTAGCCCTAATCATAACTCCTGAATGCAGTTAAACTTATTCACTCATTACATTGTCACCAAATTTTTACTTCAATTTAAGAGATTAAGACACCAGTCTTTCATTCGCCTTTATCAAACTAGATAGAAGGGTTGTTGCCAAATCAAACTCAAAGTAGGTAACACGGTTACCTCACCCGCAACGTGAGACATCCACCCGGCAACAACGCTGAAAAGTGGACTTAGACAGTTGCAAAACTAAATATAGTGGTGTAAATGTCAACATTTTTCCTATCTATGTAGTACCGTATAAAGGAAGTTAAAAAATACTACATTTACTAGCTTTGAAAAATTCCTGGAAAAAAATGGTGAAAAACAATATTTTGAGAAGTTACTTCTGCTAAGGTTTGTAGTAAAAAAAATATTCGCCGTATTAAAAGATTTTACTTTCATAAAAGTTGCACCCAGGTGTTGGCTTGAAAACGTACATAATTGACAGAATTTGCCTATCTCATCCCCAAAAAAAAAAATGGCGGTCATTTCCGCACGGCGAGGCTACTCGGGACAACCCCAAAAACGCATTTACAGTAGAACCTCAGTTAGCAAAGGCTCCAGTTCCAAAAAAAATTGATTAAAAACAAATAATATTGATTACATTTACCTCCCTCAGTGAAAAAAGTTTCACCTATCAAAAAATTAGTGCATCATCGGTCATCACAAAATTGTGCATAGAATGTCATATATAGATTTGTGCACCAGGCATCATAGAATGAAAAGTAATTGACCTAAACTATGATTTATTTCTCCAAAACATATGATGGTTGTGACTAAAACATTCCTTTCCGTTTCAGGTATGTTTTTCACGATATTTTTTATAGTAAATTCACTTAACCCAATTAAAATGGTGTGAAATTACAAGCCATCCTGTAAGCTTACATATACAGAAATAACTCAGTACTCACTGCAGTGAGTGACAGAGCGCATTTTCTCATCGATGAATACTTGAGATCACGGACAGACAGACATGGCGAGCACAATAGTGCATTTTTCCATAAATGAGAAAATGTGCTGAAAATGCTATAGGGCTGCTGATATGAAGCTTGCAGTGGACAAGGTTGTTGTAAATGCTCAATGGCATGTTCATGGATACGGTAATATTGCAATCAATAATACGGTAATATTGCATCAATACTACGGTAATTAATGTATATGGTAATATCATATCAATAAAGGAAAAACAAGTAAAAATCACAGAAAATGTCATTTATTCTACCTCTACATCATCTACAATGAAAGAGGACTTCAGAGTACTGTTAGTAATGGATGAGTACACTCTGCCTGCTTCAAATGTTTTAAAATGAAGTTTTATTCCAAGTGTCCAGAGTAGCCCCGTTCGACGGGGCTACTCGGGACACTTTTTTTGCATCTGGCACCTTACAAATAGCATATGGAATTTTTTTGGAGAAGCCATGTGAGAGCCCTTGCAAAGAGCTTTGAAATGAGCCTAAACTTGTTTATGAAATGTTTCATGGTAAGAAGTTATGAATGAAAAACGTTCAAAATCATCCCGAGTAGCCCCGGTTGACGGTAATCAAAATTCTATGTTGTTAATCTTTTTTTTTTTCCTGGAGCCTTTGCTAACAAGGTTCTATTGTAAATGCATTTTTAAGGGTGTCCCATTACTCCCATAATCCATATCACCCCGCCCCCGGAGTGTGTTCTTAATAATTCAGGATTGGAATTTTTCTACTGGTTCCTAAAATCTCGTGGCTATGGCGTGACAAATTTTTAATACATTTGGAAACTTGTAGCCCAATTGTGCACTTTTGTTAACAATTAGATAGGAGGTAATTCATCTGGCAGCCCGATTGGAAATTTAAGGTAATGATCAGGAGTACTGCTTTTCAAAATTCTCACGGAATTACACCGAACCGCCATTGCACGGATTTTGTAAGAGATCTTGAACATTCTCACGGAATTGCTATGTTTTCACGATTCATCATTTAAACGACTAACATCTCAATTTTGTCTAAAAAAAGATTACTCATTACGTTGCCTTAATCCTTGAGCGTAGAAAATAAACACCTAACTTGTTTTAGTGTACTGAATTACTGCATCCATCGCACCTTCTTCAACTCCACAGTGCACGCTATCAGTTCCGTCTCCTACGATGCGGATGTGAGCAGCTACTTTTCTTTATATAATGCAGTAGCTACTCTAAAAATAATAGAACCGATGTTTTTTAAGAAACAAAGGTACACATTTTAATCATACAAATGTAAGACTGTAGTTTGCACGTAAAGACTCTAATAAAACGATTAAAATTATAATAATTTTATCATCGTCAATGCCACAGCCACATCAATCACCTTTAATTAAGCAGCTACAGCACCTTGCTTGCCGCTCGTCAATTTAAGCCATTTAATATTGGTCCGAACTATGATTTGTAAGGTTCGTTTGCCACACAATAACTAAAATGCTTTTTCTATTATGCCACAAAATTTTGGCTTAGCTTTGTTAACTAAATAGATCGTTACTTATGAAGGCCGGAGACAAAATGTGTTGTTGCCTGTAACGAAGTTAGTGGCATTGACAGTACAGTAGATTGATTGGGAAATCTCATTCAACGTTTTAAGAGATCGTTTGTATACTAGCAAACATTCGCGTTTCTCGTGGTAAATGCAAGAAAATTGAGATATATTACACTCCGCAGAATACTGAAAAACTAAGAAATTCATACTGAAGATGGATTAGTCCTTGGTTTTTATGAAGCAATGTTCAACAATTTAAATGAACTTTGGAAGACACTGACAGCCGACACGTGACAGCACAGTAATGAGTAATGTTCCATGTCTTCAATTGAGAGCCTCACCAAAGTTCCCACTCCTATTTACTATAGAAAAATACATTATATCAAACATACATTAATTAGTTGCAAAGGAATGAAAACCAGTTTGACTCACCATTGGTTACGGTGCTCGAACAATTCAAAGATGTGTTATATCATGAAGGCAACCCCACAACAGTAATAGAGTACACTGCCCACCCGCACATTAGCAGATCATCAACTTCAGGGTTGTTGACTTGCTTAGTTGTCTCATTACTCTCGTACTTGGTGTTGGTAAGCCGAAGGGCGGTATTCGTACATCGCGTTCACGTCATATTTGCTTCTCGAGCAATACGACAGTTGAGTGGGTCGACGAACATGAACGTTGCTCCTGGTCCAGTAGCTTCTGTTTGATCGTGCGTCTGGCTTCCGTATTTTCTTCTTGGCTTTGAACTTTGCGCGGATTTCGCTTTGCTGATTGCGCTGCGGAATTCGTCTTGAATTCATTATCAATTTTGTGCATCTTGCGGAATTAGTGCCAATTTTTTGCAGCCTAAGCCCTCTACGGAATTCATTAACAGGCGAACTAATCCATCTGAAGTCGCGTTTTTTCCACTTAGGTCTGGCAGGAATCTCCCAGTTCTGGAAAGCTATAGTTGAGGCCCTAAAGGGAGATATTTTCCACGCTTGTTCCCTATTACCATTATTTACCCCCCCTGGCCCCCATCCTGTGGAAATGGCTGCCATTTGTAATGATTTGATTTGGACTAAGGTACAAAAATTCCATCAATAAAGTTTTAAAGCTGACACCTGTCTGGTGTCTGCAACTTTTTATGAAGCAAAATTATTTAATACAGCAAACATATTTTTACTACAGGCCTTAGCGGCTTAGCAGAAGTACTTTTTTCAAAATGTCACTTTTCAACATTTTTTCAGGGATTTTATAATTTATAGAACTAGTAAGTAGTAAATGTATGATTTCCTTATGCCCATTATCATCACTTTATGCTATAGCCTATAGTTAGGAAAAATATTGAAGTTTATACACATTTTTTAGTTTTGCAATATTTCAATCAGTGTAGCAGTAGCAGCTAGCCTATGTTTTCACGAATCACGCCATGGCAGACCAGGCAGTGAATGGTCCCAATTTACCCCACCCATCCCTTGACCCTTATTTATTACCCTGTTTGAATTTTGACACAAATTGACAGTACCCAGCTGTAGGCTTTATCTTTGTTTTGTAAGCATAAAATATCAATTAGGCTAGTAGTAGCAGCTAGGCCTAGGTATGACTATGAGCTAAGCACTAAGCAGCATAAATAAACAATAAAAAATACTCAACTTTTTCATTTTTTGTAACAAGTTTAAAAATTAAGATATCAAAATGTCAGGTGTTTCCCTTATTTTGTCCAACGCTCCAACCCCTGAAATCTGAATAGCTAGCTACGTGGCTATCTTTCCACTTGTGAAATTTTATCGTTCTTAGCAAATGGATAGCTTAACAGTAACAGCCGTAACAGGTTAAAGTAATACCTTGAATGGATTCATATTTCATTTACTTACTGAATATCAAAACCTACCATCGAAGATATGCTATTACTTATAATGCTTATCGTTATCTTTCAAATCAATACTCAACTAGATCGTACTCAAACTTACGTTTTACGCCTTTGAAGAACACTTGTGAGTGACTTGTCTTCGCACCCACAACCTAGCGACTCCAACCAGCTGAATCCGACTGATAGTTTGCAGGACGCAAATGTAACTGGTGAGAGTCGCAGTGAAAGAGAGATCTGTAAGGGTAGCTCATCAAAAGCTGACAGCGGTGTTTTTCTTTTATAGGGACTCGCATGGTTTCAGAGTTATCTCCCGGGACAACCTGAATTCTCTGTAGGAAAGCTCGACACAATAATAGCCTGCAAATGCATGCAATTTATAACAACTTATATCATACATATATACTATAGCATGGGAACTAAAATATGAAGAATAAATCGGACATACAATTTCAAGTGAACTATTATAATTAAAAGCAGACTTTCACGCGAAAAAGTAATAATGCTAACGACCCAGGGTCGCATTTGCAGGAAAGATTTGCTGTGGAAAAATTATAAATAATGTCACTCAAAATAATGTCACTCGTGGAAAAATAAGATCATCACGAATCTGCTCAAAAATTGCATTAAACGATATTTAAAGTGAAACTAAAATTTACATTTCACATATATTATATATGTAATGTATTCTATGAAATATTGAAACTTGCAAATTGGCTTTCGTACCAGGACGTCTCTCCATGTAATAAAATATACATAGCATATAGCATAGCATAGCGATCTCGGCATCAGATGTTAGGCTTCCACAGCCTTCTTCTACATGAGAGTTTTTGCAATAAATTCCAACGAAAAAGTAGTGTACTACGGCAAGCTTAGTGATTTGGGTTACTTAGCCAATTGAACTGTAAAAGTTTGGATGCTTGATGAATTTCATACATTATTTTCCTATGAAGCTAATAACTTCAAAAACATTTCTGCAGATGAAACAAGAATGTTAATCATGTAAGTGAGAATATAAATGAACAAGAGGCATCGGTGCCCGTCTGCAGACTGCTTTCATACATCAGAATTGAAACATCACATTACGAAATTTTATGCAATCTCTGTTAGCCCCAGAAGTTAAATAAAAAATAAGTGTTGGGATAAACGTCAACATTAATACTGAAATTCTCATTTCAGTTAGATTTTTGCCATATATACCACCACGATTAGGGGAACTCTCCGGTCAATTATTTTTCCACGCCAAAATAGCCAAACTCGAAAAGTTACGATCAAAAATCAATTCATGATGTTGCTGATGAAGTATACACAAAGTAACGGGTTGAGAAATTCTTAAAGCAACATAGGAATAAATTTAACATAACATTATTAACATAGTGATCTCGGCGCTGAATTGTAGGTCTGATGTGGCCTGTCGCCGATTCTTTTCCTTTTCGTGCCGTGTTCACAGAAGATCTAAAATCGTGTCATTTGACCGGATCTTTTCTTGACTGACGATAGTTTGAAATAGCTACTCGACTTCCACCGGGTTCGATATGTTGCTAGGCATTTCAAATCTGAACATATATTTTTCCATAGCTTTATCTAGTCTGTTCTTGAACGCGTTTATACTTGGAGCGCCAACGATGTCATCGGGGAGGTTGTTCCACATGTCGGCGATTAGAAGCGAGAAGAAATATTGGCGCGTGGAGAAGTTGCAGCACAGTTTTTTTAGTTTACAGCCGTGGCCCCTGGTGTTGGTTCTTGTTTCAAATTCTAGTAATCCTTCTGGGACTCTGTTTAGACCATGAGTATACTAGTATACTTCAATGAGGTCCCCCCACAGACGTCGATAACTGAGGCTTGGAAGCTTCATAATCTTTAATCTTTCTTCATAGGACTTGACCTTCAAGCCTGGAATAATCCTTGTTGCACGTCTTTGAACATTCTCTATTAAATTTTTGTCTTTTTCAAATTTCGATGACCACACAACGTTTCCAAACTCCAGATTCAGGCGCACGATAGCAACAAACAACTGCTTCATCGCTTCTGCATCTAGTAACTGGTATGAGCGTCTGATTTATATTAATCAGCCATGTGATTTTTTCTTTTCATCAGCATTCCTGGAACGGTGGCATTGCGTACTCTACCCTGGAGGATTAAATGATAATGTAGACACTAAATCTATATAAAGTGTCAGAAAAAAATATTTGTGTAAGAGGTAAAATCTGCGTGTCATTCAGTTGCGTACAGCTTGAAAATACGAAGTAAAGCGATCTTTCAAAGAAATGGCATTGCAGCCTGACTATACTCCGGCATATATATTTTTTTTAATTTTCAACGCAGTCTTAAAGGATGTAGAAGTTAATGCAGTTTGATATCGGGCAATTTTTTGAGACACTAAGGTGACACCATTGCAATAAGTCGCATTAGAGGGCCAACAATAATCTATGAAAATTCTAAATACAGGAATTTTCCATCATAGAAGTACATCCATCAATAAATTTGAAAAAAAAAATTCGCGACCAAAATTAGCACAAGCGTCTCTCACAGCAGCCTTTACCTTGATAAGAAAACTTTAGAAGGTCGCTCCATTCAGAAATTAGAAATCAAATTTGGCACCTTTTCAAAATTAGAAATTCTAGATTAAGTTTTCCGATTACTTTAAGATTAAGAAATGGATACTTTACGTGGCATATAAATTTAAACGAAGTAGTGGACACTAAGACCAGATCCGATGGTGACGCCTACGTGCGTTCTACTGCAATTTTTCAATATTACAATAAATTATCATTCTGCATGCCATTCACTTCGTTAAGATTATCCCGGTCAATTAAACTAAATTATATTACTAATTGCATGATAATACCGGTCCTTTAAAACTTTATTTTGGGCTAATCTTGCCTTATTCACCTCAATTACTGTCTTACTTGTTAATCATTAGAGTATTTGGTAAATTTGGCGACTTGCTTCTTAAATGGACCAATCACTTAATGTATTTTTTTTAGTTGATAGGATCACTCAATTTGCGGATTTTATTTGTCCTGAAATTCAGTATAATCTGTGCATATTTTGTTGACAATTATTAAAGTTTACAGCTGTTTGCAACAGAACACCTGGGTGACGCAGCCATATCTTCCGAACGCGCCTCATGCAAGCGTTGCAGCTGCCCCTGATCATTCATTAACAATGGAAGAAACTGCCGGCTAAAACCTTATCCACATTTTGATGCACATGAGTAACAGCGAAGCTGCTACAGTTGGAACTATTCATTTCGTTATTCAAAGGATCGTACCTTGCTAAACACATTCAATAAATAACCCGAACTGCTCATAATTGTTTTTGTCTTATACTACCATTACCAAAAGTCCATCGTTTGCGTGGGACAGCAGTTATCAGCTCAACCCTGACATGTGAAAATTTTCAAGTTGACTGGTTACGCCACATAAGAGAATAGAAATTTGACGTTTCTCCCAAAATTTATTAAAGTGGAAATTAAAAGAAAAGAGTCATTATTTAATGCTTAAGCCTCTTTCAAGCATACATGTTTTGTTACTTTGAATATCTTTGTTCTTAGAAAATATTACCGAAAAATTGTCCATCAGCTGCTGCAGTGGAAAGTTTTCTTAGAAGGACACGCAGTAAAATTGTAAAGATGTTTCATTTGAACAAATACTATATATTTATTTCTTTACAACTTTCATTCTAATTAAAATAAACTTCTCAACGTAATTATGGTCAATTTATTTAAAGGATTACACTCGTCAATTGATTCGATAACACGCTATCTGAAGTAACACATTGTGATTTACTCATAAACATACATTAATATCAATTAATAGCGCGTTCATATGCATAGGTTCATTTTGAATTAGTTTGCGTATTAAGGGCGACTACATTTAAAAAAATTCATTCATTCATTAGCTACTCATTGCTCCTTTTCTGGGAAAACGACCAATAATAGCTGAGATTTTATCCTCGTCAAAAGTTAATCAGGATTATGTTGGTAATCTGAGCCTGAGACCCGACCATAAATATAATTCTATCGGTTTAATGCACATTGAGTATAAATACTAAAGTATTCAACAGTTATATTATAATTGCGATTTAAACCAAGTTGAAACATTAACAAGTGAAGCTAGTTTAACTAATATACAATTTTGAGACAAGGTGGATTTTCGCAGAACTAAATTTGAAAATATCTTGTGTCGTGACGCACATTGGACTAGCTATAACAACTGAGAATAACATCAATTATCAAGGACCCGGCCTGATCATCGTTTCTTCATAATCGTTAATAATTTAGATCATTCAGAACGCAGCCTGTAGGTAGTACTCTGAACAATCTGTGCGTTCTCGTGCTCCATCCACTAGACAACAGCGAGAAGTAATACAATTGGAATAGTCAATTTTATAAATAGAGTCCTGCGATTATAGGCAGAGCCCGTGATAACTTGAAGTATGAACCTCGCATCATCAGATAACGACTGCATAATATCAAGTTTACCGAAATATTATGTCCACAGAAGCATGTGCTTCCTCAATAACTGACCCGTACCTATGATGGGTGTAGAGTTTTATACAACTCATGGTCACCATTTTTCTCCTCATTTCTTCCTCTTGACCCATTCATTTCTATACTCAGCAAATAAATTCAATTGCCTATCAACTTTCCTGCTGGTTGATTATTATCAAGGAAAAACCACAATTGTTGCGAGTAGAGCTGCATATATCACTGGACACTTCCGTCCACCGAAGAAACATATACAGCTTCAGACCTAAAACGTTGTACAAAAAGACCGTCTTCAACATATCAAAAGCACAACATTGACCACGCTAAGCTCCTTAGCGCCACCATTCTCCGGGTATTTTCTTGCGTTTTGCAGGTTGCGTCGCTCCGTTGTCGATGAGATGCCTGAGGGTAGCGAAAGCTTCATCCAGCCCGTCGCCCGTGACGGCGCACACGCAAGCAACGGCCCAACAGGAGACGGGCACGGCTCCACTGGGAGGTGCTTGCCCTTCCACGGGCAGCGACAAACATTTGGCGATAGCTGGTGCAGAACGCGCCTGTTTACGGTCCTGGCAGAGCAAAGTAAACACGCATTGAGAAATATTCTAGAATGCCCACACTATTTTTCTGATGCAAGTTTGAAAGCTAACATGAAGAGCGATATAGCTTAAGTTTACGTTTAGCTATTGAATTTAATTTCGTTTATGTCCTGATGTCTTAGCTAATAATGCAATTTTTTCAGATCTCAGAGGGAATTTCTTAATTGTGTGGTTCTATAAAGATAAAATAAATATGCACTATTGTGATCATTTTAAATGAGAATTCATATGCAAATTCATATATCAAAGAACTTATAACGCTAAAAATGTGATTGCTGCGTCACCACTCTCAGCTAACAATTTCCTCCAGTGTTTGCTTAAAATGCAATCAACTTTGAAATCGTCTTAGTGGAATCATTTTTATTTTCGTGTCACCTATGAAATTCAGGAATATTTTTTAGATCAACGAACCATGCCATGTGCTGCTTAAGTAAACAAATCGCACTATTCACCTGAAAGTTTGCCATGACGAGTAGCGGTGGTGGAGTCCGACCCATTTCTATGGCGATCGCTTTGGCGAGCTGTCAAAAAATCGAATCTTGAATGAAATTGAAACAATAAATCAATATTAATCATTAATAATATTGCAATGAATATCATATATAACTATTACTATTAATAATAATCGCCAATGGGACCAACCCGGTAAATTTAAACAAGTACAAAAGACAGTAACTTTTGAACTGAGCCATATCACCAGCTGTACCTTCATTATTCTCGCCAGCTCCAGTCGAGCTTCCTCCATGGTGTCCGCGTTCGCGGATGCGTCCACCACGAACACCACGCCGTCCGTGCCCCGAGTGTACGTCGCCCACAGTGATCGCACTCGCTCTCCTCCCCCGACGTCCCAAGCCGACCAGCGGAAACCTCCAGCGCGAATCTAGAATATAATGTCCAGCAAATAATCTCTGTCTCTTTTATTGTATTCAGCTACATGAAATACTCAAATAAACTTTATGTTTATTATAGTTATACTTAATGCACCTGTTATACATATTATATTTTATGTTTTTTATTAATATTATTATATTATAAAGTTCCGCATGAGCCCAAATGCCAGAAGTAATTTTGTTTCTCTATTTTCTCTTCTAAATTAAGTTCCACAAGCGAACTTTATTTTTCCCGAAATGATAGGGTATAGATTCAAAAAAATAGGTAAATTTATGTATTCAGCAGAAATTTGAAATGCTAAATAATTCAATATTTCAAAGGTTTTTATACAACCAAACTCTTGGGACCAACCTTCTCGTGGTTGAAGCCGACAGTGGGAGTAGTGTCGAGCTTAGCGTCGTATTTAAGGCGCATGAGTATAGTAGTTTTACCCGACCCGTCGAGCCCGAGCAACACCACATGTTTCCTCCTCTTAATCACACGTGCCACCGACCGGGACAAAGTTCCAGTGACCGACGAAGTGCCGCCTGCGTTGCGCGCATAGCTGGATGCGGTAGATGGCCGTCGAGTGCTGGTTACTTTCTTTTCCGTCACGCTCGGCGTTCTTTTTATTTTGAAATCGCTAAATCCATAGTCTTCTTCCATAGCAGGCGCCTTGTAGTTCGGATTGGAAAATCCTAAATTGCATAAATTAGATTTTGGATGGTCGTAACGTATCTCGAAAACGGAAGGATCGAATTCTTGTCTGAGTTCATATCTCACTGGACTGCGAATTGCTCTATAATTCAATTCATTCAGAGTACGAAACTCTCCGGTAGTTTGTGTCTGTGAAACAAAAGACATGTCGTGCGTATTTTGATGCTGCACTGAGCCATCCCAATGAACATTCTCGTAATTCGTCCCATGTTTCGACCAACGTCGCGCCGGACGTCTGTTTTCTTGATCCAAATTACGGTTATGAGGCAACTCGCTGTTTCGCCGAGCATCCCTCAGGTGTAATCCTTGATTTGTGGTGTCTTGCCGGTGGTATTGAAAAGGAGAAGCTTTTTGTAATTTAGCTTTTTTATGTTTCAATTGAAATTGTTCTGGAATATTTTCCTTATAGGGAAGACGTTCGGTAAAACTTGAACTGTTCAGTGTCTCTCTGTAGCTATCGTTTATCAGACCATTTCGTCCATCAGGCGGTCCTGTGCGGTATCTAATCAAAAAAGGGTTGTTTGTGCCGTCCATGGATTTTTTCCTGTAATTTTTCATCATTTTGTAAACTGATAATTTGCTAACGCAGAAAAACTTAAATGTTACTTAGCAATTTATCTGGAAAGCGAAATTCACACCTTCTTTAAAATTTTAATATGTCAAGAAGTACCTATCCTGAAGTTAAATTCTGGCATTTCTTCTTATGTCAAAATGAATCATAGAGTAATTCATTGTTAGCACTTTCGCTGAAAATCCATACTGAATTAATGTTTTCACTTCCTAGAGGAAGCAAGTTTCTATTACCTATCAGCCGAACGATATGTCACAAAATTACAATCGATCGAACAAAATTCCACTGATTTGATATTAATGAAATCTATCGAAACATTTTTAAAAGTCAAATTGAGGGTTGAGACAAATAACCAACTGGTGTATTTCGTAGCATATATTAGTTCAGGTATTTTATTTTTGAAGATTAAGAGCGCTTTGAGGATCCAATAAAGCAGAAATAAGCCTCACTGTCGATAATAATAACGCTTATTAAGCGCCTCTGATAACGTTCGTAAAGCAAGCTTGTGAAGCGCACATTGAGAACCAATAAAACGTACAGTGGCGAGTGCTTCTGATGTTCAACTCGATCGTTGCCAAAAATGTTATATTTTTTCATTTTTGTAACTTATATGAATGAGTTGAACATGTTGTCATTCACTGACAAGAGAGAACCTACATATGGTTTTCAATCCTCCACAGAACATGTTTATTATGGTCTCGAAAGCACTTTGTCGAACACATATCGTGTGAGGCAAGATTTGCGCCAGCCTAAATAACTCCGTAGCGCTAACCATCACACTGACATGACCACACCGAGCCGAAGCTCTCAGCAGACTGACGAAGGCTGGCTTCCTTCACCTACAGAGGCTCTAGTGGCAGTCACAAGCTTATCCACATCGATGACGTTACTTGTGACCTCATATGATAGTGTCACTGTTAGGATCGCTTCTTCTTGCCTCTTATGTGTGGTGCTATGAGCCTGCACCATCGCCTTCAGATGACTTTTCGGTTCTATTTTGGCAACCTGTGTTGCTCCTCAGAAAGAATTATTGCCTCTCTTAATTAAGCTAGCAATTACGACTGTGAAGTGTGAACAGCACTTTGTTAGGGTGCACTCACAAGATGATTCAGTTTTTGCTGCGCGGGTCTTCAGCTGAGATGGTGCATTCAACCATGAACAAGGTATGCGAGTTGCCCATTTTACTAATTGCTGTTTAATGATTATTTATACGAGATTTTCAGCTATTCCTTCTTTTATAAAATTCGTTTGGAGGCAGGCGGCAATTGATGCGTAAAGTCTGCTATGAACAAGGAGCCGTACACTCCTCTTGACATTTTCTTGATTTACCTGTCCATCTGAGGGACACGATCAAAACGTGTGAGGTTTTGCCTATCAACGCGTTATCTCAACTGATTAGCTATCAGTTCACAATTTCTATTCACCTTGCAATTGTAATGAGCAAGTAGCTTCAAGCAAATCGTATTTTTCTCAAGTTTTAACCTGGGAGCTCTTTAGTAGCATCAATAAACTTCGATTTATTTGCCTTTTGTTAAGAAATGTCTCTTATTTCTTTTGAAACGCTCTGCAGCCTGCAGGTAGTATATACATCATCTAGTTCGTTATACTGTATAATTTAGAAAACAATTTTTTTTCAACCTCAATATCGAGGATTCTGCAAGGTCGTATATGAATGACAAAGAAGGAGAAGTTATCTCAAAACTTCAATAATCATTTTCATTTGATACTGGTTCACCCGAGTCAGTATATTCTTTCTATAATTCATTGGACGCAGTACTTAATTTCGAACTTACATTCACTTCAGCTTCTATCATATCCATGTTTATAACATACACATTTTATTAAGATGAGCAACATAGAATATGACGTCATAAGGAGCAAGGCGGCACCGTTTTTTCGTTGCCGAGGAATGTGAGTCTCGCGTGGCATGCGGCTAGCGCTCTCAGCCTCAACGCCGATCAAGGCTTCCCCACTCTTCCTGTTGCGTGGGAGCGAGGCGCGCCTGACGCGAGTGGTGCAACCGTGGCGCACGCATGCTTAGAGCGAGAGCACTTCACATCCGGCCGGTGCAACCATTTGAGGCGTCAATTGCAGCCATTTGGGCATGACGTGGAGCATATGACAGATGACCAAAAAATATAACTTAGTACTCATTGCAGTGAGTGACAGAGAGCGCATTTTCTCGTCGACGAAAACGTGAAGTTATGGACGGACAGACAGACGGACGGACATAATGAGCACAATAGCGCTTTTTTTCCATAAATGAGAAAATGCGCTAAAAAAGGCTAATGATAATTGAAGGTTTGGGGAATCTAAATTTCCATGACATAGTATCTCTTTCATTCATAAGTTTGAAGGAATAACAATACTTCCTATAAATGATTTATAATTGAAATTAAGTTCGCATGGCGCTGAAGAATATAATAGGACATTCCAAACTTCAGTGTAAGCGGGAAGCATTGCCTCATTATGTGTTGGCTGTGAGTGACTTATTTTTTTACATAAGAAGGCCTTGTGGCCACGCAGCGTCGCAGGAATGTGGCCGGAGACGCTGTGGGGCGCGGGCCATCCCGGGCTATCCCCACAATCCTGCAGCGCGACAATATTTGATTTGGATGATGATTCTTATGGCAATTGATTGGGATGATGATATTTCTTCTTCAGCTGGATTAATTTGCCGTTGAACAGTTAGTCACTACTATAAAAAACTGTAATGGTGAAATGCATAAATGTATGCTTATTTTACTGCAAAACCATTGAAAACTCTTTAACAGTGTTGGCTGGGTAGACACTGAGATGTTGCGCATGTAATGACGTATCACTTGCGCTATTGACAACTCCTCGATCAGCCTGATATTTACGCGTTTTTAATAGCTAAAGGAAATTTACAAGTCAAACGAGATGTCGCTGATGTATATTCGTGTACAAGATAACTAAGAAATCCAATTAAAGAATATTGCATGTATGCGCCCAATTTCAATTGATAAGATAACGTGTCCACCGCGCATGAGTACGGTGACGTGGGTGGCCTAATTTTCGACCTACACTGGAATGCACCGGCCGCCCCCGAGCGTGACCTGGGTGCAGGATCTTGCACGCGCGTGTCGAGGGAGCAGTCATTCAAAATTAGCTACTATGGACAATTTTTAGCGCATTTTCTCATTTATGGAAAAATGCACTATTGTGCTCGCCATGTCCGCCTGTCCGTCCGTCCGTCCGTCCGTCCGCGACCTCAAGTTTTCGTCGACGAGGAAATGCGCTCTCTGTCACTCACTGCAGTGAGTACTGAGTTGTATATTTTTTGTTACAGACTGCATCTCATCATAACTGTTGTTATGCGAGAGATAGTACATGAGGAAGGTTGGATAGGATGGTCCTATTAAATATTTACATTGGAAACTTACTCACTATAAGACTGCAAATATTTGTTTCTCACATTTCTGGAGGCGAATTAAAGTTGTAGATCAAATGTTGGATTGAATGAGTCTGCTTTAAATAAACATACATTTTCTTTGAAATTATTCACTGTATTCCGGCTCGCGAGAATTCCAATTCTCTCCTGAAGTGTGTGTAAAATTAAAATTTTAAATGATACAAGTTAAAATTTGCTTGAATTTCACAATTGAGGATAAATGGGATATTGCTGTGAATTACGGGTGTGAATGGATCTTTCGTTCATCACATACATGTATAATTATCATTTGAACTCGGGATAACATATTTCTGAAATCTCATGGAAAATGTCTCAATGACTATTATGGGAAAATATGTTGCTGTCTTTCGGCGCATGTCTATAGAAAATTAACCAAACTATTTAAATGTCTTAAAAAAAGCATAATGTTTGGACAAAGAATTATTTCCCTTGTATCCCTTAATTTATTGAAATCGTGTTTTATAATCTCCCGCTTTAGACCATCTGCTATGTACTAAAGACATTCTGCCGACACTAATTTTTCCCATACACAAGTTCACGCTTTCGCGAGTCACTGAATGCCAAGTAATGTATTTAGCATGTATGTATTCAGTAGCAATATCAGATTTCTGCATTGAAGAGTATCTTCTAGCCTTTACCTTATGTGAACGTCTGACACTTCAGATGAAGTGTCAGAGCTTCGTTGAGTTTGAAGGAGCATTTATGTCCTGAGAATCATACATAGTCTGGCAAGCAGGATGGCACCTACACATCAGACATGCCACTGCTTGTATTCACGACCGTTCCTGTTCACTCTTGTACTTGCAAGGTTATCCGTGTTTGTTCGCGCCTGCTTTGTGAGGTGATGTGAGGATTTAAATAAACTTTGATGGGGTTATGACTAACTTCAATAACGGTAATAGAAGCGAAGCTGGCTTTAAGAATACAGGCGCCTAGAACATTTTTTAGACAAAGACAGTACATGTATCGTTGAAAAATTTATTTATGATGACGAAAAACTAGAAAGTTTATCCATTTTGAAATGCATTTCACATTTGTCAAAGGTCGAGTGTCACTTTATAGAATAGTGGTTTCAGCGTTATTAGGCCGTAGGCCTGTCGCCGATTCTCAACATCGCAGAACATTCACAGCATTGTGCGGTCTCGAACTCGCAACTCACTGCTACAATATACTGCTGTGCTTAACCGCCCGGCCTCCTTGCCGATTCTGACCAGAAACTGGCGCACAGAGCTGGGATCGAACCCACGCCTCTCTGCGCCAATCTTGGTACTCTGAACTTTAACCACTGGGCCTTGAGATGATCCGTCTCATCATCTCAAGCGTCTAGAGAATCACAAGTCGTTTGATATGACTTTTATTGCCCACTTATCAGAGGTATGCTATCTGAACCTGAAATCATCATAATTATAACGTACAAATAAGATGTACATCATATTTTTACTAATTCAAATGCAAGATACTGAAATATGGAGCGCATTTTATGTACTAATATTCCACCTTCAACCTATTTAAAAAATATTCTACATTCTGATTCTAAGCGGGTGGTGGGCGAGGGTTTCCTAGATAGCTTCTTAAACAATTATTCTCATATTTAGTATGTCCAGTTAGTTGTACATGGACTATGTTGAAATCAAAGGATTTGTATTCAGCACAGAGCATGTCGAGAGCTTGCCTAAGTCTGAATAATGTATCAGTCCCAAACGGCATCGTGGTAGAGATGTGATCTGTGCATGGTAAGCTTGGACGCTGCGTGCCTTGCAAGGATAAGCGAGGCATCGCTCAAGGCTCTGAAGTGCTCTAGAATGGCTTAGAGACTTGACTTCTGATACTTTTGTTCTCTCAATCACTGGCCTTCTCTGCTCCTTGAAAGCTTGAAGAAAGAAATCTCTCTGGTGGCTGTCCTTCTCCTATAGCAGCTCCCACAATACGGGGCTCATGGTCCCACTTGAGAGCGGTTCTCGCTAGCAGCCATCAGTCATGCCCTCTTCGGTCTCCTCGCATCGTGGGAGTGATAGGGGAAATGAACCCCTGTTTTTAGCTCCCGATCTCAAGGCAACAAGTTTATTAAGAATTAAAAGTTGAGCAATATTTATAAGTGCCCAAATTAAAAAACTTTTGGTTCACAATGAATTGCTGCTAACGATTATTGGGGTTTAAACATTATTGTTAATGCTATAAGTGTAAGTGTAACTTTAAACATATAACGTGCAAAATGAAGACTTTATTCAACGTCTTGGCATTTGTTCTGCTAAATTCTTTTACTGGAACAAGTAAATGTAATGGAATTGTTCGTATAGTTCGTTTTACGACAGCAATTCATTCTCTGCCTATTGGGAGTTTTCTTAGGCCTTGGATAATGATCGGTTTGGCGAGGTTTTCAAGTGAACTCCAGTGAAAGTTTTGTACGTGTGAATTAATTTCAACCTTATTACAGCGTGCGATAGGAACTTAGTTTGCACCCTTGCATTCCGAATTAATATATGAAACTTTACTAAACAAACAACCAGTACAGTCCGAATTTGCATTTAGTCCGATAGTTCTTACAGTCCGATAGTTCTTACAGGTATTCTCTAATTCAGTACGTTATACTACATGATCTCGTAAGCAAGTGTTAATTTTTTCAAAACTCCTCGTCGAGGATTAAAATTTGTCAGCATCGAAGGGGAATCCCCACTTGGCCTAGACAACACTCCTGCAGTCTTGTGGCCTACGGAAATGTAAAGAATCTTGGAGGTATATCGAACCATGTTAACAATGCTAGAGCAAATAAATTAAAATTCATGCGTTATCAACAACCATGTTCAATTTTAAAAGTGATTGCTAACTTTAATGATTTTTCAGATCACCACCCACCTAGATGCTATGCAAAATATAACTCAATATATAATCCTGTCACGGTTGACTTTGAATCTTGCCACATTTATGCCTCGTATGAATAATATGTTTCGCCTTTTCGGTGCTTAACGGCTGATACGAGTTCTAAGCATATCAGATTGTGTGTTTGTAATTCTTGTCCCATCGACGGCCGCGCTGTTGGTGGGTGGTGCGTGTGGGCCGAGCTACACGGCGCCGAAGCTGTCCTGTGGTGCCATAAAGAGCAGCGGCGACATCTTCTGCAGGCCGATGACCTGTGGTCTCCTCAACTTGCATCCTATCTTTTCTTCCTCATACTTAGACATCTGATGACTCAGAACAAAATCTCCTTTTTATTTTCTCATTGTAAACGGGAAGAAAAAATTACCGTGCAATTAGTCATCTGATGTTAACGGCGAAAATGAAGTCATATGAATGATATGAGCAGGAGACGTCTGTCCGAAGAGCTCCAGTCTTGAACCATCAAACTGTGGCTCTCTGTTAACGACTTTGCTCGTTACTAAAGTGAGCCATAACGTGAACAGTTGAATCAATACACAAATCGGAAAGATTCCTCTATGAATAGCAGGTCTTGCTGTTTAATCATTCTCGAAGTACGCGTGCTCGTGGAACTGAGATTTCAATAAATTGATTGGGAAAACATTTTTTTATTGGCATGACCAATAAAGAACAAATATGGAAATTGGAAACCATATTTGTTTGACCGAAAACATTCAATATGTGCAATAAAAAGTCTGACCTCGCTAGGCTTTCGTCACTCAATCGTTTGTGGTCATTTATGGTCTAGCTTTCTTACAAGCATAATGTACTTTTATGCTTTACTGGTTGGAAAAGTAGGGAGTTTAACCGAGAATTTTAGGCATTAATGTTTAATCAATAACCTTTTTACATTTATATGCCACTAAAGGTATTTAATAACTGATTTTCATATAGTGATTTCTCTCCTCGCAACAACAACCAGGCGGAAGCGCTAATTAGTTTAATCGGATTTGATTTAAAAAAAAAAGTCAGACAATGTACAATATTATTGAAATTTAATGAAAATTTTTGCCTTCACGTTGTTTGAGGCAACCAGGAACACAAGTGCGCACATGTACAGTTGATCACATGGCGCCGTGTGAGTGGAGCTATCAGAGTGCAGTGCAGCCACCCCTTCCGTTCGTTTGGACAGTTCGCTTTGCGTTTAAACCTAAGCTGATTTGCGCGTTCAGTAGAATAACTACAATGAGTGGACAAATTTTTCAGTTGAATGATGGCTCTGTTGAACTTCATGCGAATAATCAAAGCTTGTTGTTGATAAATTCATTAACTAGAGTTTGTATTCAATGCAAAGAAAGATTTTCTCCTGGTTGTCGAGAACTATAAAAGCCTCACAAGAGTAAAGAGGAGAATGTTGTAAAGCATTGGAAAACCACGAGGGCGACCGGAGATGAAGCTCAATTGGTGTTCGGGGAGCCGCTGCCACCAATTACTTGCATGACGAAATGCGTCGTCACGGACTCTTTTATTGAGCATATCCTTCCGCCACACTATGCTCGAATTTCCTAAGTATTTACTTAAGTTTAGAAGTTGATTTTAACCCTCTACCGCCTGACATGAGTAACCGGAACAATATTGTCACAAGCTTACTTCCTAAAAAGGATACGGTCTAGTGAGCGCAAAATGACTTGCGCTGATGGTTGCCGCCGCGTACATCTTAACATGTTCTCTTTTGCGTACAAACGTTCTCTGATTGTTACACTCATTAGTTAACGTATAATTTAAGTTAAAAGTTATGTTCCCGGAGAGTGACATATGGCAGTAGAGGGCATAATTTCAAACTCTAAATAGCCGTTTTGTAGGCTCATTCAGTCGAGCGGGGCAACTTTACTCATGGTGAAAGATAATCGTGGGCCGACAGAAAATATTTTTACACATCGGTGGGTCGCCTGCCGAAGATCACCACTGCCCTGGATGTAATGGACCATCATGATTCCTGCCTTCCGGAACGTAGCCTTCAACACTTAAAGCCGTCCGTATCTAGGCCGTGGGTCGAACCAGCCCTCGGTCGAACGGCCACTTGTCGAAGGACGATAAATTTTGGAACAGAACTATGCTATCTGAAACCTGACCTCAGATGCAGTGAACGTAAAATTACGTAATTTAACGATGGCTGGAAGTCATATTCGATCCGCGGCCTGGTGGTGCACGGCAGGTGGTGGTCAAGGCCGGAAGAGGACAAAGACGAGTGGTGCACGGCTGATTGGTGTAGGTCAGGAGAGATCCAGGGCGTTCGATTCAGGGCTTATTGGTGCACGGCTGCGCTCCCCACATGGGTCATAATTGGAGTGATAGCACAGTTAACTTGTATCATATTGAAAAATAACGAGCAAGCCTTGCCAGCATGATCATATTGCACAACATAAAAATACATCGCTGTTCCCATTCAATTTAATAATCAAGATCTTGCAAAATTATCCAAGCTTTCAACGACGTTGTGGAAACGCCACTAATGTTATCGACAACTTGAATTACAAACTCAATTACATTTGCATGCCGGCAATTTCTTTCGAAAATCGTCGTTTTTAATTCAAGATTGTGTACTTGAGTAATTACCGTTATTTTTCCAAAAGAATTATTGAAAACGAAACTAAATTGGGAGTGCAAACAAAGTTCGCGATGTATTTGATTTGCGGTCTTAACATCGTAAAGTCGATATGTTGCTGTTGCTCGCGTTCCTGTAGTGGACGAAGCAGCTAAATAAATTAGTCTGTCGATTATTTATTAGAATTATTAGCAGGATTTAATAAATATTACGCGATGGTCAGAACTCAAAATGGTTCTGATTAACTATTTGCTTATCTTCAAGCGTTCTCGTCTATATAGCCTTCGCGAGGTGAAGTCTTTTCAATGGGATAAAGAAACCATGGGAAATGTCAAGCATGTATAGTGCGAAGCCAGACTGGCTGATTGTGGTCAAGTGCCTCTCCTGAAAAGTCCACTTGATCTGGCGAGCGTAACTCGAGAGCGTTCGATCAGTGCTACGCTCACCTGACAGTTTCTCGGTAGAATAGCATCAGCTTCGTAGACTTCTGGCACAGTCTCCGCATGCGCCCATCACTCAGACTGATTAGGTTGGTTAACACGGTGACTCTTGTGCTTTCATAGGCTGTTGAGCCCAATATACTCGTGCGCGTGGTTATTTTTGGTTTTGTTATGGTGATGGGGATTTTCTTCAAGGGAATATCTCTTCAGACCGTCCCGTAACGTATAAAATATACAAGGTTATAAACGTACAGCTTGTTTTATCAATTACGTGAAATTAAATTGTTATGTAGTGTTGCAGTAACTTTTTATGATGAACATACCCTCGTTAAGGTTATTTAATCTAGATTTTGAAATTATTCAATACAGGACTTCATGCCCAATTATTGCACTGGTTGGATAAAGACTAAAAATTACGGCAGACGAGAAAATACTTTCAGTCTTACAATGACGAATCATTGACATGCGGAAGAGTTGGAATTGTGGTGAGAACCAAAAGCCGCATTACTTGCACTTGCTTGAGCCACGTCACCGTGCAACCGCTGGTGACGAATTCTCAGTTTTCTCCACTTTATAGAGCCAATCAAAGGAGTACCGCAATGAGTGGCATAGCCAATGATGTTCTCGCTTGATAGAGGCATGTCATAATCATACATGGATATCAGTCTGGAAGAAAGAACAGCCGATACATTTTTTGTCACAGTTTTCCGAAGCTCGAAGCTATCTGGCACTCAGGTCAACACGACAGTAAAAAGTTTGACTTTTAAGGCTTGTAGTCAGAATGCAGCAACGTCTGAGAGCAAGGTTTTCGCGACCATCGTGTGAAATTCTTGATTTGCCGAAGCTCGGCTAGTCGCTACCCTCGAGCTTGTACTCTTGTACACTCAGCAGTTTGTTTTCAATTCATTCGCGAAGCTCAAATTCCATTTAATGATTCAGATTCTCGGATAATCCAGTTCAAGACACACCCGCAATGTGCATCAAGTTTTCAGGGTAGATACAGTACTCCAATTCAAGGGGATGAGGGGCCGATGAAGAGTTCGAAATTTAGCTTCAGATAGTAAATTAGCCAGTCTGCCAGACATTTTTCGGCTGTCTCAAGCATTACAATCCGAATAATCTCCATCGCCCCACGCTGGCGTGTGTCGTGGATATGCATTGAGGAAAAAGTTATTCCCATTTGACCTGGTTTAGGGTTAAATTATTACATACATTTCCAGTGCACCACAGCAACACATTTTATTCCCTAATAGAGCGCTATATTTGAACTGTAGCTTTCTAGTGAAAAATTAGCTTCTTTTTAGCAGAATCAAATACTGTGTACATGCAATGCATGAATATATTCCATGCATCGTTCGGCGGTTTTCCTGTTGAAAACCAGCATTTCTACGCTACGTAAAAACAATTCTGCATCGCATGAATGAAAAAAAAATTAGAAGGTTAGATTATATTTATTAGAAAATCAGGTGCAGCTTAAAGCTCGTAAATCAGAAACCGATCTGTACAAATCAGGGCCAGAAGCAAAGGCGGAACAGCTAACTTATTACGGCGACGTCGGTGCAACATGCCGTGTCCGCTGCAGAGCGTCGAGATATCACAATGCAGGCAAGTGAGGCGCTTAAGCTTATTACTTTTCAGTCTCTTTAAAACGTAACAACGATCGTAGATAAATTGTGACTCGGCAAGAATTTTTTATCACCAGTTATTTAAAATTAAGCAAAAGAATTCTATACACTGCTAACTAGTCGAACACATAGACAATGAGTGGAAACAAAACATTCAACGTACCAAATGCTAAAACCTGCCAGCAGTGAAGAGCCCAAAATATTTTAAAGAAACTGGTGTGGCTGACAAAATAAAACAATATACGCGTCAGAAGAGCACTTCTTGGAATTTCAAAGTTTCATCGTCCACTCATTTATTCACCTAATTAAAATCTCAGTGATCTTGTCAATACACAATACACATATGAAATTATGAAATGAAAATGGATGAATATGGTATGGAGGCTTAAAAATTCAGAAGCACGAAGAGAATATCAGCCTAGTTGAGGCTGAAACTAAGGCCTGCCTCTCAGTAGACCATAACCAGTCGTCTCTCCTATCCATGCTGTTGTGATATTAACCTACATTATCGTACGAAATATTGGGCCGAGACAACAAAATTTAAAACGTTACGCCGTACAGAATCAGACAATTTTTTTAATGAGTACTTAAATTCTTTTCGTCCATGACAACAATCTCATTATTTATCCTTCAGTTTCTCAGTGAACACACGTACAATCGACATAGAGCACATTTTATTAGTATGTCACTGGGTCACTGGTAGAAGAACCTCGAGGTCAATCCTGCCGCCAACGTTCAGTTGCGGACACTTAGGGGTGGCGCCTGCTGGAGGGCACGTCTACGTGAAGGTGAGACCCGCTGAGTTGTAGGTCGTGAAGATCTTTTCAATTGAGTTGATGTAGGCAGCCAGCCTCAGATCAATTCCAGTGTTGTATTTGATGGCCGTCCTCATGATGGCCTGCAAAGTAGGGTCTACGATTAGTCCAAATACAATGAGCATTTAACATCGAATGAACGGAAGATATTCATTGAGCCCTAAAACTGCGACCCGCGAAAGTCTCGTTGGCATCTCAGTGAAATGAAGAAGGAATAGGAGAAGAGCACAGAAACGAAGACAAGAGCATTAGACGTCAACCAGTCGAAGGACAGACATGTAAAAGAAAGGTAAAAGTAAACCTGCCTTCTTAACAAATTACCTAAGAAACGCTAAATTTCAACAAACTTCCGAGGCGCTAAGAACTTCCGAAGCTACTAAGATGAAGGGATGGGATACTAAGGCTGAACCAAACAAAATAATTACGTTTAAACCAAATCCAAAACTGGTGAAACTAGAATAATTTGGGTGGCTTTCTAACATTTAAATAATTTGGTTTGCTGTTATGAAGATGTTAGCGATACAATGCATGGCCAGCGCAAGTGACATGGAGGTGAGGCCTGACTTACCCGGGCGGAGCGCTCCATGGTGTAGTCAAGGCCCGAGTGGACGATGTCCTTCTCGCTCGCGCCCTGCACATGCAACCAGAACATATCAAACACAAATTAGTATGAGTAGTACAGATAAAGAATCGCTTAACTAATCGACTCAATAAGGCAATCAACTACTTGACTCAAACTAGCATGTTAGAAGCTGGGATTTTAAAAGCAAAGATGATGCCAAGAAAAATTAACAATATTTTTATTGGTAACGTTTGAATATAAATTTTTCAGTAATTTTCTTTCCTTCTGAATTTTTGCCGGCTTTAACACGTTGACTACGATTGATTCATCTTGTACTATTATTTCATTGTTTGTACTGTTTTTAAACAGGGTTGCCAGACGGTCTTTTCTTCCGGACGAAATCCGTGATTGAGTTTTTCTCAATTGCGTTGGCCGGCTTAAATTTATGATAGGGGGGGGGGGGGTACTTCCTTATAAATTTTAAATGCTGCAAAAAGGAAATAAATGGATTTTTATAGCGGAACCTACAAATAAACTAGAAATATATATTGAGTTATCGGGCTGTTTTGGCCTTTTTTGTTCTCGGATTTGGCCGATTTTAGGCATCCTGAATTATGTACCACTATGTCCTGAAGAAATACATTTCGTGGTACGCATATGTACCACTTCGTAGTCAACGTGTTAATAAAAAGTTATTTAAGCTATAAAAAAACAAATACCGTAATATAAATGTAAATTTAAAAATTTCAGAACTTAAAATTATCTGCAATAGGATTAAGCAGAATAAGATAAATAAAAATTTTAATAATGGAACAATTTTACACTAAAGAAAATGAACTTAAATTCAATAATCATCGATTAGACTAGAGTAATCCGTAAACCTTTCAATCATTCGGTTAAAGGGTTAATCCAGCAGGCAAAAATGCATTAATGAAATTAAAATCAGGCGTAGATAAAACGTGATAAATTTTGAGTAAATAAGAATGCAACCCCGAGTGTTGATAGTAAGAGAGGGAAGTGTGATTGCTAAACGAAATTTCATGACATGCAAGGAAAAAGTTATCATTATAGATAAAATCTCAGCAAGATATTAGTTTTTGAGTAGACACAAGTTAGTTTACAAAGAATGGCGATTTGAAACCCGCAAGCGCGTGGGCTGCGAGGCGAATTTACTGAATAACTGAATGGTCAAGGAAGACCTATATGACAAATGGTTTCAAACAAATAAGGAGGCGCTTCTTTTTATGTTAGAACCAAAACACGAAACACGTTAGAACAACAGGCAACACGAAACAAGAAGTATTAGGACGAAATTCTAGACACAGGTCATTGTAGCGTGTTGGGTAATCACACCAAAGACTCGATCAGGGGTAAGGTCGAACACAACACACAGGACGTCACAACAGCACATTAGGGACAGGAAATTTACGAATACAAGATAACTTGGAGGCGCGACGCGTCTAGATGGATTACTTTTTAGTGCTATCCTTCAGCAAAACGACAGTCCTATGCATGCTCGCTATCCCTCCACACGAAGGACTCGTCCACTGTCCCTTCATCGCGACACGAATAGTACAGAAATTTAGCGAGACTATAGCTATGCGTACTGCACTGTAACTCTAGCGTTCATTAGTAAGCGGCAACGCCACACCAAAGTTGAGAGAAGCATTAGAGAGAACAAACAAGACCAGAAGTAAGTCGGCGTTTCAGTATCTCAAAGGCTACGTACAGAGATCCTCGATTGGAAAGACTCTGAAGGTTCGATGGGGATGCGTCCGCCCACACGACCAAAGCGCCTCTCCAAAGACTCCTGAACAGATTCTGTGGAACACCAACATCATCAAAATATCGGCCCATGTACATGCAGCACAAACAACCTCCACGCGCGACGACTGACTCGACACAAACAGAAGGTCTAAATAACAAAATATGTAAGCTGAGCTAATTAAGGAGAAGCTTGAGCTAGATAAGAACGCACAGCAGCCGTTCAGTAATCAATACCACACAACGAATACGAATGCACTGTAGCGCGCCATTTACTGAGAGAGTAGGAACGGACAAGGAGCTGCAATGCAACGGGAAGCTCACCGTACCAAGAAGAGCGGAGAAATGTCCCGGAGGCTTTCATTTGACGACGACAAATTCATGCACGAGTAATACACGACAGGAAGCAATCATGCACCAACTGTAGAACTGAACTGACTTAAACTGACTCAACTAAATCGACTTATTTTCGAAAAATAAAAAACCGAGAACAGGAAAAGCATGTAAAACAAAAAGCATCAAGCACAATAACATGGAAGACATGAAGACGTAACCGCTTCCAAACCTGTTCTCAACAAAGATTGGTAATTAATAAAGTTTTAGCAAAATTACATAGGAAAGAATAGGTAAAATGGGGAACTTAGGCGAAAGAAAAAATGTTCGACTTTAGAGAAGGTGTAGAAAGTGAGGCATAATAGAAATAGTATGTAGGCCATAAAATAAAATAAGGGCTGGGAGCAAGGCATCCATGAAATTAATAGTCGCAAAGGGAACAAATGCCGCTCAAGCCCAAGACAAGACGACGGCGAGACTCACGGCGATGCGGGCAGCGAACTTTTCGCTAGGATTCACTCTAAGGTCTGCCTGTTTGAAGTGTTTGCTGAGAGACTGCGCCACCGAGTCTGCAAAGGAGCGTTAGTGAAGAACAGTCGAGGCTACAACACACAACCTTAGCGTTTCTTGAAAGGTTAGCTAGAGGAAACTGCCAACAGTTATTCGTCTATGGAACATTTGTCATTTCATTGTAAAAATATCACCCATAAATATATTGGAGCCGAAGCAAAAAGTCAGTCAATTTGGAAACTATTTGTAATTAATTTATGTAAGTAATTTAAAATGACGTTGACGGGGAAAAAATGTTTAATCATTATTTGAACGATCAAGAAACGCCGAACGCAATCGACCACAATAAGCTCTCCGTAAGTCAAAACACAAGCACAAAGTTAGTTGTCAACTTGTCATGCTGAGCAATTTTTGAACGACCTACAGAGTGGCAGAAGATCGCTCGTCAATGTCAGTCCTCACTCTCATTCGTCCCTCTCACGTGAGAAACGAACGCAATACGACGTCATCAACACGAACAAAAAATTAAGACGCATATCAAACACAAAATTTGAGACGCGTATCAAGGTTTCGAATGGCATCCATTGAACTGTAAATTCCCTTCATTCACATAAAGAGAACAACATTAACACATGTAAAATACAATAAACTCTTAAGGTTTTCCTTTTTTGCAATTTTTACAATATTTTTAATTACACTTGCTCTTGCAACGAAAGTTTCGTTGGGGTTAGGAATTCGGCGCATTTGAAAAAAATAACCGCACTATTACTGACGACATCGCTGGTTTGAGAGTCTCATGGGTGCACGCACTTGGACGGTATGGCGTGCGCCACAAAACTGAGCTTCCCTCATATCTAATACAATAAAAAGATGCAATTCAAGTACAAACAACAATCGACAACTTCGCAAATGTTAACCTACGTGTTATATTGGTCAACCATTTTAAAATCGGTTCTTTTTTTAGGTACAAAGATACTCTCCCTATGCATATGCGAGCGTCCCTAGTTTATGAATATAGTTGTGCACGATGTGCATCTGCGTACGTCGGAATGACGTCTCGCAATCTTTATTCTAGGGTCGCAGAACATAATAGCTTTTAGCTCTTACCCGCTTGAAATTGTAAATAGATAGGTTTTACAGCTTAGGTTTTTTGTTGCAATCATGACTGTACTAATTACTGATTTATCTGTGTTCTAGAATTTTCGAACTGACGATGGAGCTGGACTCCGAAACGTTTTCTTTAAAGATACTATGAATTTTTGTGGAGTTTTCTTTGCTTTTAAGTATTTAGTGAATTTGCGATTAAAGCAAACAAGTGACATTATTACTTATATAGATTAAATGCTCATAAATAATATCCAGTTTGAACACCATTATTCCATCATGAGAAATCTGAGGCGTAAAGGAAACCCCACTTCCATATGACCGTGACTTCAGATAGCTTCAGCAATATGGTTTAACAATAAGAAAGGGGGAACTTGGAGGTTAAAATGAGTGCGGGTAGTGAATCACGACTACACATAAGGTTCGTGAAACTTCCGAAAAAAAGAAGCTCCAATTAATCTTATCTAGTGTCGATCAAGTTACAAGTGACATCAGAAAATGTTATTGCTAATAACACATTACCAAATGCACAGCAAAATATGAGGCGGTGTGTTATTCATCAGGCTTGTATCGAGTATCGACTAGGACTAGCTATGAAAACGGTGGACGTGCACACACACTGAGCTGTTAGAACAAGAGTTCGAGGCAGACCTCAGGAGCTAGTAATTTACTTCGTGTGAACAAGCATAAATAAAAAAATAAAGACATCTCAAATATCACTGCGCGGCCATAAAAAAATTATACCTGGCTTTGATATGTAGTCCAGTTGACACAAATAAAAATATGATATCAAGATGTGGCAATGATTAATTTCCCCATCATACAGTTGTGAAGACAGCACCGATGCGTACATGAACATTGAACATAGTAGCCTCATCATGAGCGTGACTTTCATCAAAGAATAGATGAAACGAGGAGAAACTTACCCAGCAAGTGGTAGTTGGACTCTCGCTCGTACTTGAAGGTGAGTCTGCCGTATGAAACGTGGTTCAAGTTCTTGAGCCACTCGAAGTATGAGACGGTGACACCTCCAGCGTTGATGTATAGGTCAGGAATGACCAAAATGTTGCGTTGCTGCAAGATTTTGTCGGCAGCAGGTGTGGTGGGGCCGTTCGCAGCCTCGGCGATCACCTGATGTCAAATATCCAGAATCAGAATAGTTTCGGACAACTAAGAAATGACATTTTGGTTCATATGAACTACATTATCTAGCTAGTAGTATTTATGCATGTAACAACATCAATTGATGCCACAAGAAAAGCGTGCCTACACCATTTCTGTTGAGCAGCGTGAGGCGGATAGTGTAAGACCCTGCACAACCTTAATTTAACCCTTGGTCTACTGACAGTAATTCAAGTTACCAGACCTCATGGTACGGTTAGCGATTATGACGAATAATTTATCTGAAGACGAAGGTTTAAGACAAACATTCTTGGACATGACATTACAAAGTCCCCGCAGTTAAATAGGTTGAAGTCGCTTATATCTACATCTACCAAAGTTCCTTTGCAGCACATAACCTAGTCATTTTTGTTTAGTCACGCCGCAACCTAGAATGAAGTTATGGTCAACCTTGCAGTTGATCTTGTGGGCGTTGTTCTTGTGGATGACTTTCTCGATGGCGGCAGGGATGAGGATGTCGCAGGGCTCATACAGCAAGTTCTCCCCCTCGTAAACTTTAGCGCCGGGGTACCCAACGATGGTGCCGTGCTCCAGCTTGTAATTTTCCAGCTCCTGCAATAATAATGTCGTGTTTCATTGTTCGCACACAGATAATATTTTTTTATTTTTCGCTCGCTATTAATCTTATGTGTGACGTGACCGCGAAGTTCGTTTGAACCAGACGCCAACGATAAATGCTTCGTAGAATAATAATAATACCTACTAATAATAATTTCTTAATATGTCATGCACATCTTCCTTTAGACTTCTTTGGCCAGAAACTAAGATAAAATCAAGAACCAATATCAACCTGAGCACATTTGTTCAAAGTACATATCTTTTTCCAAGCTGCATTTGATGCTAAAAAACTCTCCCAATGACTGAATACTCACAGTATCCCCAAAAATATGGTATGGATGGGAAGTGCGACGTACTTAATTCAAGATTTTGTAGGTTGTATTCAGCACGCTACAGGATTACTGAGTGTTACACCCGTGACAAGTTCCAACACAATACCAGGGGGGACAAAAATCTATTTCGAAATACACGAACACCAAAAACTCTACACGTAAAAGTTGGGCCAAATTGTGAAATGTTTCAGAATGATATTCCAATTATGTTACCAAATTGTAGTGCTACGATGGTACAGAAAGTGACAAAATGATACGGTATATGGCACCAAAAATCCAAATCGCACGGTAAACATGTACCCTAAAATAACATGGGTTACGAGCTGCCTGTGGTAGAGGGAGGAAGCGTCGTCACCTTAGGATCAATGCCGTCGGGGTTGAAGATCTCGCCGTCGACTTCCTTGACGTCGAGACGGTACATGGCATAAAAAATCAAAATCGCACAGTAAACATCTACCCTGCCCTAAAATAATACGGGTTGCGGGTTGCCTGTGGTTGAGAGGAGGAAGCGTCACCTTAGGATCGATGCCGTCGGGGTTGAAGATCTCGCCGTCGACTTCCTTGACGCCGATGCACGTGGCGCCAGCGCGGTGCAGGTAGCGCATCGTGTGCAGGCCTACGTTACCGAAGCCCTGAGGCCGTACAAACAACGCTGTTAACACCCGCTCAACAAGCATTAGAAACTAACTACATGGGTATATAAAAAGTACTACAAGCATTATAAAAACTACTACATAGATACATATATGTTGGATTTTAACACGTTGACTACGTATTGGTACATATGCGTACCACAAAATGTATTTCTCCTGGTACATAATTCAGGGTTGCCAGATGGCCTAAAAACGGCCAATTAAGTCCGTGAACAAAAAGGCCAAAAAGGCCTATAACTCAATATGTACTAGTATATTTGTAGGTTCCGGTGTAAAAATTCAATTTTTTTTATTTAATTAGGAAGCGCACCTTACAACCCCTATCATAAATTTTAGCCGACCACCTAAATTGAAAAAACTAAATCGCGGAATTTGTCCGGTAAAAAAAGAAAGTCTGGCAACCCTCTTACATAATAGTACTAGAAAAATGAAACAAAAGTACAAGATGAAGCAATCGTAGTCAACGTGTTAATATGCAAGACTTACGTATTTAGATATCAATATGCACAGTTTAGGTTAAACCAGCTGTCTCGAAGGTAAGGAGGTAAATTATTAACCTATGAACGTCATTCATATTTATGCAATCATCCACAAATAAATATTCCAGTGATAATAATATCCAGTAATAAATATTCCAGAACTCTTGCTTGAGTTGAAAGATTTGACGATGCATACCGTACCTCTCACCCACCCGCACTCAACTGCCTGGCAGGAATGAACCTCGACCAGAGTTGCTCTGCATGCGCGATCATTGCCATCAAATGAAGGCAGTTCTGACCTGCATGATGAAGGCAGTTCTGACCTGCACGATAGCAGTGAGTGACAGAGAGCGCATTTTCTCGTCGACGAAAACTTGAGGTCACAGACGGACAGACAGACAGACAGACAGACGGACGGACGGACATGGCGAGCACAATAGTAGTGCATTTTTCCATAAATGAGAAAATGCGCTAAAAAGCTGATGAGGCAGTAACCTTTTTTTGCTTATTTGTAAAATTTTATGAAGAAATACCAAATAATTTATGAAATATATTTTTGAAATAATAAATTATTCTGAGCGTGAAAAGTATCAGGTATATTTTAATTAATTTATATGGATTGTTAAGCCTAGATGCAGGTCCGGTGAAAGTGTGAATAGACTCATCAGTGCATGCTCAACTAGCATAGCTGAACGCGGTGCAGCAAATGATCGTGACTACTAACACTTGGGAGAAGTTAAAGTGTACGCCAGTCTATTTTGAGGGGAGACCTACCTATTTTGAGGGCAGAGGACATTGGAGAACAACTAACTTGTGAATATAAAGTGCGACTGTCAGGAGCGAGTTGAGATACTGAATCAGAAACTATACTGTGCATGGGATGTAACTGAAAACCATGACATGAATCTAACACTTCTTCGATAGATGGAAGTCTTGTAGTTAGTTGTAGAATTCAGAAGATAACGGCTCAGAGCTGGTACTGCATATGAATGCAGATGATCAAGATCGCCTTGATAAGAAATTTTAGTACAAGGCGATAAGAAATAAACCTCAACCAACGGTAGGCTTCCTCATTTGACCTACCGATAAGACGAGGTTTCCGATATACAAGCTTTCTCGTAAATAAATCCATATGAAATTATAAATTTTCCCGTAAAAATATTAATGGATCGTTATTAAAATCAAAGTATTGAGTCGGATGATGACTGCTACAAATTAAAGGTCGTAATAGACTACCTACTCGGCAAATGAACTGTACGATCATTAACGTACGAGATAACAAGAGCCGTTTGTACTCGTAAAACGCACAACTAAATGAATATTAGGCGAAGGTAAGTTAAGTGTCATAACACAGTTGGACATGCATTATCGATAAGATTTCTATGTGAATGACTTACTATGCCAAGAAAGTAGTCACAGCTTAGTGAGACGAAACTAGTTTGTTGCATCAATGGCTAGCACATTTAATTTCACACATAATAAGTAATAATAACTGTTATAACACACAATACACAATAATAATTTCACACAGGAAGAACTGAAAAATACATGAAAAACAGTTCTGTAGCCATATAGTTACCGTGTCACTTAGATCGAGAACATTGCTCCATAATTTTTTAATGAAATTATAACGGCACGTACAAGCGAACCTTGATTTGTGAAACACGATTGTTGAACACTTTCATTGGCTGAAAGGTTCTTGAGCATAGATGTTTGACCAGCAAGTTCGTGCCGACAAATGTCTCGCATGAATATTGGACAGTCTTAGTCTCACCAAATACTCACTATCCAGTGACAAGTGAGTAAGCACATATTCATAATATGTATTGCATAATATAATAATATTATATTATCCAGTGACAAGTGAGTAAGCACATATTCATAATATGTATTGGGAGCCATGACCATGAAGAACCTTGCCTCGTAGCAGGGCATGCAACGCACCGATTGTATGGGCGTAAGTGTCGGCGATCCAGGACATCTCGCGCTCCCCGGTGCCCATGTCTGGTGCTGGTACGTCAATGCCGGGACCTGGCCACACACCACAGACACGACACGTGTTAGTGCAAGCAAACAAACACTCGAGCAAACAAACAACTATACGCGGACTGCGGGACCATCTCACTGAAGAGGTGCAAAAATCGTGTAGTAAGATACACGGACAAGAGAGGTGAGCAAAATGAGGTTCTGTAACAGCGTTTGTTGCAATTCAACAATACAAGGTTTAAAAGTGAGATGGTCACGAATCAACGACCGCCTCGTTTTCTGAAGGACGAGGGAACTACACAAAACGTCTGTCGACGAATAATTAGGTAAAAAGTTAAGAACTATTCAGTGTGGAACACGCCTCGCTTCCCAACCGCGAGCTGCAGAAAAACCGGGGAGACACAAAACAGAAGCAGGAGACGGGCAAGAGACAGCCTCGATCGTCGGCCTGACGCTGACTTACCAATGGTACGTGAGTATGTGTCAGCGAGCCATGACATCTCACGTTCACCTGTACCCATGTCAGGCGCTGGCACGTCAATGCCAGGTCCTGACAGTCGCATCATATTATTAAGCAATATTACAGTGTGGGTTTAAAAGGACATAGCATTCCAAATTTATTGAGTACTTAACGTTTCCAAGAAATCTGTAGACACGATATCAATGTATCGATTATAATCATCATATAGTAAATTAGAAGCCTGAATCATCGAACATATCGTTGAGCACTGAACAAAGCTATAGGCAGGAACAATCGCCCGAAAAAATTTGCCGCGACTTCAATTACTGCAGCTAACTACAGAGTAGCAGCTGGAGATGTTAGGAGCACGTCCGATGCTAGCAGATTTCAGTGGGATAAATCCAACGAAATAACTCACCTCAAAGATATTTCACATCACAAAAACCAATAATAAAAAAATTTGCAGTAAAGGCCAAGCTTATCAAGTAACGCTGACACACACGACTTGCTGCAATGGGATGGAGAGGTTAACTCGAGAGTGATCACGTGTGTTGAAGTGGTTGAGACATGAGCTAATGTAAATGATATGTTTTTAACGTAACTGGGTGCACTGAAGCCTAAAAATAATCACAAATGCAGCAGTTAATATAAAAAAATATACCAACTTGCTTATTGTAGATGAACAATTAGAACTTATCTCAAGTAGCTATACGAGTCTGAGCTCTTCGAATGTATTTTGCATCAGAATAAAATCAACATTATTTTGTAATGTTCTGTGACGCTGAGCAACTAAGTTCGCCATAATCACACACGAAACTCACGCACCGATGAATCCCTTCTTAGCGAGCTCGAGTGTGAAGCGCCGGGTGATCTTCTCGAGCTCGTTGACGGAGTAGGTGCGAGGGTCGATCTTGAGACCCGCCTTAGCTCCTCCGAAGGGCACGTCCACACACGCGCACTTGAACGTCATGAGGGCAGACAGTGCCTTCACCTCGTCGGCACACACGTCCAAGGAGTAGCGGATGCCTGGGTGTACGGACCATCACGTGAAATATTATAAAAAATGCCAAGTAAAGGTTTTAATCGGGCAAAAGATTTCAAGTTGCTATGTTCCTAAAATTCCTAAATGACCAGTAGCTTTGAATTTCTCTTGGTGATGATGCAGTTGATCGTCCATTCGATCATAACGGGTTGCATCAATAATATATAAAAGACATGAGCTTTTGTTAAAACTTTTGAAATAAAGACTATATGAGATTTTAAAGCAAACGGTAAGTGATCTGACTAATAATCTGCTGAAGATAATCGTTCTCATCACATATCAGTTCATGTTGAAAAAAACAAAAAAATATGTGAAAAATAAGCTATTTCATAGGATGTCAGTATAGAGGGTGAATGGTTTTCCAGCGCTTCAGATGTCAAGCTATTCGTCTTCCATCAGAAGTCACGAATAAGCATTACCAACGAGGTGGAAGGCCACATCCGAAATCCTCGAATCAAAAATCGTTTACCACGAACAAGGAGCGGGCGGTCTCAAAAGACCGGCCCACTGTAAAAAAACGCGTTACCATCTCTGAGACGAAAAAAAAGGTGAGACAGCTGAACAGCAACGAAGACACTCAAGACATCGGCCTCGAGAACAGCAACAGAAACGAAGATACTTGACTTGCACGATACGTCGGCCCACGGAAAAAAAATACAATAACTGATACTAAGTCAGACACCGCGCGCTCTGTATATAGTGGGAGCGCTCAGGTGCACGAAATCCATTCGGATTTATGGATTGAGCTCTTTAACATGTGACAGTTTTGCCGGGTACCTCGGCCAAAATCTGAGACTTCGTAAACTAAGCTAGCATCTCGGAACTGGAGGCATCTCGTTACATTGCGACTGCAACTACATCTAAGTCCATGGTAGAAAGAGGCGAAGCCAAACGTGTGCCTTAAAAGATCATACTTAGGCTTGTTTAGTCCCCGCTCGAGAGCTTAACAGCCTAAATGAAGTCAAGTGTTGAAAGCCATACTGCCGTATATGTTCACAGATATTGCTTAAGAATGCTTAAGTTGAGCATGGTCATACTCCATCAGGCCTAACCAACTCACGCTGCTAAGTCTTTCAATTCAAAACAAATCTGATCGGACCTAGCCTATCCTCATCGGCTGCGGGAAGTTCGAGAGGCGGGGAAAGTTAGCAAGTAAAGTCAGTTGCAAAACTTCAAAGAGGTTGTGAGTCAAGGTAGCGTGAAAAAGTTAGGCCAGACGAGCTAGGCCGGATGCAGAACTCCTAGCTTTTGAGGGAGCATGCTTAAGTATTGGCTGAAGACCTCCGGCGCTACATCTTTGAGGAGTGTCACTGGTCTAAATTAGGGTGTTCTAGCGTAGACTAGCTTTGAGGCTGAAAATAGTTCTTGCATGCAGAGGTTGGAAATTGGTTCTAGCGCTTATCCAGGAGTTAAATAGGTGGCCCATGGTTTCCCAAATCATAGGCGGCTCTTACGAGCGCAAATATTGAAAAATATTTCGTAATTACATGCAGTTTATGACATATTACTGAAAAAAAAAACATTGTTTAAATACAAATATGAAATTTTATAATTCGATGCAATGTTAATGAAGTATGGAAAAATAGCTATGGCGAACAGGAGCTGCCGAAATGCAACTTCGTATCTTCTAATCTAAATAGAATTCAAAGAAAATGGGCATACTGAACGAAGGCGCGAAAACAGAAAATCTTAACTTGAAACAATCGCTCGAAGCTCGAGCGAATAAATTGTAGGTTTAAAATGCAGAGGAACCGGTCCGTAACATACCCTCTAGCTTCCCGTGTATTGCACACAGACAAACTACACGTAAAAAATTTCCTTCATTGACATAAACGAAGTAAAAGTCGTGCAACTAGTAAAGAAAAAGGTTTACTTGGCAGAAATTTGGGACGGAGAACACAATCATAGCCAGCATGGTGGATGGTAAGCCGGTAAACATAAAAACATTAATTTAGTCCAGATCTAAATTACATATAGTACACTAAAGTACACTGACTGCTTTATTTTGAGAAATTTGCAGCATCTAATGTAAAAATGGAGATTATTTTTAGGTTATTCAATCTTTGACATCTCGAAACTCGAAAGTGATGTGTGAGCAGAACTACTAAGGTGTACCAAAATATATATAACATTATTCAACTATGACAGGAATGCGAAGGAGATTGGCTTACGTCATAAAAGAGTGTTATAGTACGCAGTACCTCTCTGTCGCGTGCCATTCAAGTCACAGTATCATTAGGATACACATCATTTTTTTTCAGGGACAGGCAGTCAATGATTCAACTGTGCAACCAATGACACAGCTTACCAAATTCTTGCACAAACCGTACCTGCAACACGTGCATGTTTGCCATTGAAACCCAATGAGGCAATTGATCAATTCATAGAATTCGAAATTTCTATTTTGGGGAAGAATAATCACACGTAGAAAAAAACGGAGAAAATAGTAGGATCAAATAGCCGAATTATTCAATCGCATTTAATTACCAAAGAAATCTGATAAGTTAACGCAATAACTGAAGTCCAGGCTATTTTTACAACACTTCTCTTTAACTCCACTTTTTACAACACTTCTCCTTAACTCCACTTTTTACAACACTTCTCTTTAACTTCATTTCTTGTTTTTTTTTTCTCTCTGCTACAAATATTATAATCGATATTTAACAAACTTCTACATGTTCAATCGGTCCAAAATTTTGCACACTTGCGTAAAGTTGGAGACAATGCGTGAATCAATTGACAGAACAAATAATTTTAAAAATTTAATTTTTTTATATATTAAAAAAAATTGAAAAATCAATTTCTTTTAATATTTGAAAATAAAATTAGAAATTCATTGTACATATGTAAGATCAAAGACACTGGATTCTCTAGAAGCGTTGTCTTTAGAAGAAGATAGCAGATCGTCGCACTACGAACCTCTTGCATGAAAGTATAGCTGCTTCGAGAACAAAAATCATTGCGTACAGATGGGACGAACTGCTAGGAATATCAAAGCTAACATAACCAGAATTGCGAGGCGAGTTTTTGCGGAAAGAAGCAGAAGGTATAATGAGGAGTGAGTGGGGAAGAGAGGTAGGCACAAGCTTGGCAAGCGCTCAAAAGAGAGGCAGTCGCGTGGCGTGGCTGTGGCCGATGTCTTGTCGACGCTTTACGGGAGATGAAGTCATGACATCAATCATGGCGAACCTTTAGACAAATACTCCTTACCGATTTCATAACATGCAGTAAGACAAGAGAGATGCTATTGCATAGCCCCGACTTGAAGTCATAAAATCAACCGTGGCGAACCCTGAGACAAATACTCCTTACCTATTTCATAACATGCAGTAAGACAAGAGAGACGTTATTGCATAGCCCCGACTTGCAGTTAGCAAGTTAACTAGGAAAGAAGTGTGTACGACCAAACTACTAATTAGTTAATTATTGCTGTTGAATTTACGGCCATGATAGAACAGTTCTTCAATTTCATACTCGGTGTCTGTTTTTCAAACAATTTATTAAGGTTCTCGAGACAATCAGAGTTGGAAACCGACTCAAGCAAACAAGCAAAGGTAACCCATGAGGTTCAGAATTTCAGATTAAGCAAGCTTAAACGTGCAAATAAAGTAAATGAAAAATACAACCTGAGCATCAATAATAGGATTTTCGACATCTCAAGATTTATATGCATTAAAAATATTCTAATTCATCGCGGCGCAACCAGAATTTTACAAGGAATTCGCACAGAACGTTGATAGAATAAAGCACAAGGTTTGTATTGGCCAACAAGGAAGGCGGGTACCAGGAGAGCTGCTGATTGGTCGTTGGAGACGGGAGGAGGGGGAGGGCGTGTCCCTCTTACACATGGGTAGCGTGCCGCCGTGCGGGCCCGTGCCACCTCTACATACTCTCGTCACGTGTAGCTCAGAGAAGACAGGAGTGTCAAATGCAAGCCGCCTCAAATTTAAGCAGGATCTTCAAGACCTTGAGAATTTACGTCGTCAGTTCTGAGCCTATTTGTACTCAGGTCTGTTTACTGCCTGTATCAAGAGAGCTCGGACAAATGGAAATGAGAAAATATGAATGTTACGTTGTAAGAGAGTATCGCTAACTGCATGAACAATCTCAGCATAAAAAGCTTCTGGGCTATAAAAAATATATCCTGACGGTTGTCCAAGTGCCAAAAACTAGAGCGAGTCGACCATCCTGCCACTGGTAATGGCAGTTTCAGTATAAAACGTACATCAGTAAACAGAACTGAACAGACGGGCAGTAAACTTAATGAACTGTAGATGTCTGTAAGATCACGGCGCAAAAGGTTAACTTCAATGATCCCATGAGTTTATGAAGACGAATACTTTGGCTTTGACTTTATCCTAATAAAGTTATCCAAGTGACTCGAGTTTCTAACAAGTAATGCCTGATTGTAATGTTCGACACATGATCGAGAAGGTGTCGCAAGCCTCGGCGGTGGAACGCATCCATGCCCATACGTCACATCAAGCCATTTGAACGCGCGTGTCACGTACCGAGTCGCGCGTGCGCTGGCAACCGTGCAGGCCCCAACGAATTGCGAATTCACGACACACGAACAACCAAAGCTACACCGCTGGCAACAACGTCAACCAATTGCCTATCCAATTTCCCGATTGCGTTGAAATTTCGTGATGAGATTAAATTATCGACGCCAAACTTGACGCGTCGCGACGTGCATGCAACACAAGCGTGTATCAGCGCCATCTAATCCGGCGCGAGCATTGCGAGAACAAACCAGTTTGAGCCTGAACTCTCATACATGTCAAGCCTTTACGCTACATCCGATGTTAATCTCTACAAAAGGCAACGAGGTTAAACATCCTGTGTAGTGATGGAAATATGCTTGAGAACGGCACTGGCAAATAGTGTGTGCGCTCTACGCAGGTATCGGCACACGACAAAACTGATGAACTTTACAAAATATATTAACTTTAACATATTGATCTTTAAAATCACCCAAATGTTCAAAATTATATTCTCAGGAAATCAAAAACTAAATAATCACTAGGTATACCGAGGCGCATTTTATGAACAACAATCAATCTTAAGACGCAGAAGGTTCCCCGAACTTCTCTTTAAAACTTGCGCGATCTATTTCACTGTAATTACACCATATTATTTTTAGCGTAAAATTTTTTGGAAGAAATTTTAATGACTTGCAGTTCACTGCTTTCTATAGCGTAAGACCTCTCAAAGAACTGAAAATATTTCAAGAATAATAAAAGAAATAAATTTGCTGAATAATAATTTACAAACTAAATTCGATTAATTTGTTAAAATTCAGACTATCAATTCAAACGCAGAATGTTCTCAGTTCCGCTTTCGAGTAGACTTCTTAAAACACTATTGAACACTTTCAAATAGTGTTCAAAACCCTATTGAACACTTTCAAAGTGTTCATAACACTATCAACACTTTCAAATAGTGTTCAAAACACTATTGAACACTTTCAAATAGTGTTCTTAACGCTGATGAGAAACATGTACACATTTCTCGCCATGTTTTGAGCTGAGGAACCAAGAAGTGAGCAGTGCTGCAGAGGTCGGCAGCCTCAGGCGTCCGGCGACCCTACAATTACAGCAGCCCTACGCCTCCACGACCGCTGTCGGCTCATGCACACTTCAACACAGAGATGCGCTAGTTTAGGTTAGACAGGCGAAACTACAATGGAATTGGAAAAAAATAGAATTGAAAAACAAAATGGAATTGAAAGAAATGGAATTAAAAAAATGGAATTTAAAAAAATTGAAATAAAAAATTAAAATGTAATTTAAAAAATTTAAATAAAAATGAAATTCAAAAGAAATTAAGTTGAAAAAATTGAATTAAAAAATAAAGGAATTGGAAAAATTTACGTTTTTATTCGGGAATCGAACATTTACGGAATTCGTTTTTATGAGACACGTCCTGTACAATGGCAGCGCAATGTTCGGCCAATGCAGTCGCCGCGGACAGTCTTGGCACGAGTGCAAAATATCTCACAAAGCCACACCGTACAACGAACGTCGTCAAAACTGACATCCGCGTCAATATTAAAATAACTCTTAGTTCTGATATAAAAAATGTGGAAATCACATAAGGTGACGAATGCTGCAAGGTTAGTTTTGAGTGCTGCGCGGTCAGTCGCGAGTAATTATAATTATATAATATATATACTGTAAGTGAGCTTGCTGCGAGCTTCGCCTCATCAAGGCGGCTGAAATTATTGCAGGCTTCCCAGTAAGGATCGCGTCTCGGTGCCACGCAGGCAGATGGTTTCAAACAATATTAACATCCATCTAAACTGACATATGTATACACACACACATAATTCCATTTATTGGGATTCGTTTCAGTTCTCAGCTGAGTTTTTAAACCCTGCCTAGCTATTATTTTACTCGACATAATTCCATTTATTGGGATTCGTTTCAGTTCTCGGCTGAATTTTTAAACCCTGCCTAGCTATTATTTTACTCGACATAATTCCATTTATTGGGATGCGTTTCAGTTCTCAGCTGAGTTTTTACACCCTGCCTAGCTATTATTTTAATCGAGTATCTTCAAAAGATTTACATTCCTGTACAATATCTCACACTATAAGGTGCCTCGCAGTTGTCAACTCACCCCCCTTGGTGGGCGTACGATGTAACGAGTGTTGGGCGCGCCAGCCGCGGATCATCTCGAACTTGCCGTTGTCGCGCTTGACGGGGAAAGCGACCTCGAGTACGTGGTGGCAAGGCTCCATGATCGCCATGATGCCTTTTGTGCGATTGCGCTTATCTTCTAAGGAAATGCGGTCCTTCATCTCCTCTATCAGCTGATCCTCCACAACCTTGTAGGCAAAACAAGAGCAAGAATGAGAGTAACAATTGCCGTGGCAGGGCAGACTCATCAGCCTGCTTGAAACACTTATTGAATCCATCATTTGAGGATTAGTTTTCTTAGTATCTATACCCTAGAACTAGATGAGCGTAATATCGACTATCCAACTAGTTAGAGTCGTCATTACCAAATGTTTTTCTTTCATGTTGAGAACACAAGTGCATTCACACCAGCGATATAAATTAATTTTATGGCAGCTTTTAGTCTATGCACGTAAGGTTACATTCAATTTGATCTCACAAAAGCGTCAGAAATTCTACAATGAAGAATTACTAGTAATATTTGAATCTTTAAAATCTGTAAATAGATCCTAATTTGGATCTATAAAAATTAAACGAAGATTCAATGAGTTTTGAAGCAAGGAAAGGTTGTTTAGAACACAACCCATTTAAGAGAGCGTGCAATTCAAGCACAAGAAGCTCATTTTGAAATTGTTAACAAAAAATCAAAATAATCAAGTCACCTGGCATCCCCGATGAAAGAAATACTCGACCGACTCAAAGAAGGAAGGGTCTTCAGCATCAGGAATGTAAAGAAGCCTTTCAGGGATTTTGTGTTTTTCAAAATCCCCACCAGCAGCACTGAGCTGCTTGGCTGAGCTGCAGAAGGAGGCAGCAGCCCCAGTCTGCAGGACCTCCCGAGTGCCAGCCAGACGCACCAGCGTGTTGCTGAAGCGAAGCATCTTCAATACTGCAGTGTTTAAAAGACAGACATAGAGTTCATTATGATCCTTATGTCACAACTTAGGTATTTAAAAAAACTTTCACCTATCATTATTGTTGTTACTTTTATGGAAAAATGAAAAATACTACAGAACGGAGACTATTTAACATTGGAAACATTGAAGTAGAAACAAGTGAGAGCAGACAGACAATCAGGTTTATTTTGATCAACAAAGCATGGTTGATAACAGCTTCTATCAAAGTTACAACTAACAAAATTCATCCCTATTCTAATAATACACACTTGCAGGAACCACTTGCTATTTTAGTTCAATAAGCCAAGAATGGCACAAATCCATGCAAAAACTATTTCAAAAACTATTATACATGCAAAAACTATTTCATTAACAAGTTAAATGTTGCATTTAAGGATACAAATCCTCATTGTAATAAAGAATGACTCAATGCAGTCAATACTTCCAGGAGGAACAAATTATCAAAATCTGACTGCAGATACAAAGTGCACAGAGATCTATCATTGTTCAGACATAAATTAAGATGCTCCAAGTCTATATATAATTTACAAATTGAAATGTGAAAACAGCAAATGCGCACAGCATATTAGAATGAATAAACTATGTCATCAGTTGGTTTGCCATGCTTGTTGGGACATGTCAACCAGGCACTAAGTTCAACAACCTTTTGATGTAAGAAGAAAGGTTTAGCAATGCTAAGCAACACAGGGAAAACCCTGATGACATGCAATCCCATTTGCACATGAACAAACCTCATTAAGAAGTGAGTAAAAATTGAATAGGCCTTAGAAAAATTGACTTGAGGCTTTGCACTCATGGTGTAATGCTCACAGAACAATTGCATGGTTGGGTAATTGTATACGTCAATGAGATTATAATAACACACTTTATATATATCCTTTGTTGATAGTTGCACACCTGTTGACCCATTCGATGAACAACACTGGCCTAATCAGGTATATACCGCCATGGCTTCTAGCTCTGCTGTTAGCCTGTAAGTCATTCAAAACAATGCATTGAGGCTTGCCAAAGGCTACTCAAGATGTCTTCCATTGACCACCTTAACATTGGGACAGGTGTCCTTCCTATGTTTGTTCACCTGCTGAGTTTCTTCTTAGCACTATCCATACCTATGGGCTTCATTTAAAGCTTATTTCTGATTTTTCTTGTTATTACTAACTATAGGACAACAAGAGAAAAGAGATAAATGTCCCACACTGCTGAGATCACCAAGAATAAACAGGGTTGTAGCTTCATCAACACTACCAATGGCTCCAAGAAAGCCAAGCTCACTCGCCCCCTATTGCTCTTCACAGTCTCAGCTGCAGTCAGACCTATACAGCTCCTTTGCTACAACCTACTCTCATAGTGTGATGCTCCATGAGCATTGCCTGCTCCAAGTGCAGTAAGCCCCTCCACTCCACATGAACACCATAAACACAGCTGCTCTTAGCTCAGTCAGGAAGGACATCTGTCCCTTCTAACAGTCCCTTATCTTCTTGCTGTGGGACATTCTTCAGAAGGCTTTAGACTTTTCAGCATACCTCTCATCATTCATCCTACTCTTTCCCCTCCCCATGGCCCATTGTACCCAGCCTCTAGGCCACCCTCATCAGCATGTCTAGGGCCTATGCTATGAACAACCAATTTTAGTAGTAGCTCTCATAGTTATTGGTAAAAAGCATAATTACCCTATTCAATAGCAAAAGTTAAATAACAGTAGAATGTATAATAGTTCCCAGGGATACCAGAAATTATGTAGTATTTGACAAGTGAACATTCCTCTGTCTGCACAATTAATAGTTATAATTGCATCACATTTAATACATTTATAATCAACAAATTAGAAAAGATGAGTCACAGAAAAAAGTAGAATGCACACACAAACCAGTAAAGCCAAGACAAAGTCATTAAAATTATACTGGTAGTAAAAAATCAAATACTTAAACCATGCTTCTGAGTTTTTACATACTTGAATATGATACATATATCAATAATACCCAATGTAAACAAAAATATGATCAAAATATTAAGAAATATTTGTCATGAAGGAGACCAATGTACAAATGAAATTAAAGGGCTAGAAGGCAAGATCTTGGATGCACCAGTTTTGGAGCAGAGGCATCTGGCATTTTTTCCTCAAGGCAAGACTTTTTAGGAGGACAAATTATGTTCTATGATAAGAATTTGATTTATTTTCAGAAATTCATTCTTTGTTGCTCATTCGTTCACTGAAATTTCTTGGTCAGTCATTAGTTGGGCCACAGGCTGAGATGCTGAATTTGCTGAGTACATCAATATTTGGTAGCCATAGCCCACTAAGTAGAATTTTTTTTTTGTGTCACTAGGATCATTTATTTTATACTCAAGTGTGAGTGTGTGACCAATATTGAGGATTTATTGCCATAAGCCCAGCTTTACATAAAAGCAAGATTTGTTATTAAAAATACATGTATTTGTGAAAAGCAGGATTTTAAAATTCTAACTCGTAACTAAAATCTAACCACTCCAGTAACATTTTCAATACATTTAAAGACAATTTATCTAGAAAGATTCTTGTGAATTGTAGCTGCAAAATTAGAAGTAAAGCTCTACTTGCAGTTTGGAAATTAGATATATTCCATGCCTAGTGAATGTTTCTATCGTTCATGCTTTGACTTGATTTTTGGAATATTAATTTAGCCACAAGTAAATCATTTGCACAGGGCCACAGCCTCCACAGTCATAGGTTTCTCATAATCTCATCAAATCTTATATTATGCCATAAATTGAAGCAACAAATATATATTTTTTTCAACAGTTCAACTAGTAAATAAGAAGCATAGATCCTCTGAATCTAGGTATATGTTTGTAATTTGTAACTAAGTTATAGGCATATAGGGTACTTTTCATTGCCTTATACAAGCTGGGCAACAAAACTTTAATATTAGTCTATGTGACTATGATAACTTAGTCACTACATTTTAGGTGCATAATTTTTGTCAAAGCAAATTACTGAATCGTCAAGTTTAGGATTTTCTTACAAAACCGTACTTGCGAGATTCAAGATTTCAAATTGAAACGATAGACATAGATGCAACCGTGCACGGTGCAAGTATAAATTGAAAGAACATACTTTGAACGTTTGACTGTTTGAAGTAGCTATAATACGGGCCTAAACTGGTTAAACAATGATGTGCAATTGTGCACGTTTCGATTACCAAATGACACATACTAAGATCTGCGGAGATGTTTCGATCTCGCTAGAAGCTTATCAGCTGTGATTGTTTAATGCTTTGTTCATAAAAAATATCTTTCGACTTTTCTGCTGAAGTGAAGGCCGGCGACGAAAGTGCTGTGACAACGTTGTCATTAACGTTAGAGAATTCAGCAAAATAAATTTTCTACAGGACATAAAAACTCCAATCGAAGGTGACAAATTTTGAAGAAATTCGAGTTTGCAAGGCGCAAGCGAGAGCTAACGTATCGAAGATGGCAGCTGATACATTTGACTTTTCACTTAAAGAAGGGTTTATATGCTACTATTTTTAGAAGTAACGAAGGAAATATTGCTAAAACTCGAAAGCATACCTGGGTAGTTTTGCAGATTGAAAGCGTTCACAGAATACTCCCTAGCCCGTCAAGTTGAAATCCTTTCCACTAACAAACGTCCGCAACCCTAACAATACAAAGACGTAAGAGGCACTGAGATCCTGGGTTAAATTAATGATCAGCTGCAGGCTACCAAAGAAGTTTGTCTCCTGTCACCGGATTTTCGTTAAAATGATTCAAATTACCCTAAACATGAAAAATGTAATTTCAGATAAAATTGAAAGTTTGTTAAAATGTATTCGGTAGCCACAAGTTTCAATTCATTTAATTAATATTAGGAAGAAGTAATTAGAAAAATATTGGTGAAAGGCATAGTAGACCGTTCCCTATTCAGACGCTTTTCGGTTACATATGACGGATCCCTATTGTAACCCCACATGTCTGTCATGTCACTCTACCACCCAAATGGTCATGATAACTCTGACAATTTAGGACTAACCTTATTGCATTAAATCTAAAAATTTTCGTTCGCGTTAAGACTCGCCAATGCGCCATTTCAAACTTTTCAGGATTTTGCCCTCTTTGTTTCCAATTAGCGCGCTAAACGCAAAGTTTCAGTAGGTTTTCTGTGCATAACTTTCAAATCAAAACCAATGTAGACCTGAGTAACAATGAAGCTACTTATTCACACTGCGCTCCTGCCAGCGTAGTCAGAAATAAATGTGTACTTTCCGTTTTCATTTACTGCTCTACACGCTAAGTTTGTTTGGTGTGCAATAGATGCTGAAATTTATCGTTTAGCAAGCTAATTATAAACGGAGCCAGCAAAAAATCCTGAACTTACTTAGCTTCAACGTCAGTTTTGGATAGATCTGGTCAAAAGGCCAGTCCCCGGATCTTCAAGTTACAAGTCATGCGCATTATAACTATAAGAATTGGCGACAGGCCAACCTTAGCCTATTCTTTAATGCCGATGTTGCTCTGTCTATTGTAGACTCATTTAATAGACAGAGCCTATATTGCTCTATTTATTTAAGACTCATTTAAGGCGATTTACCCACGCTTATCTCAGTCACATAGGAAGCGAGGTAAGCGGTGCAAAGTAACCTTCAGATAAACTATCCAAACATTCATTCACAATTTAGCGATTAAAAATTAAATTTAAACCTAAATTTAATTGATTACCTAAATTTATATTGATTAATTTGCAGATTAGTTCAGTCGAAGCCCGGGGATATGGCGCATCGCCATTTCCACTTCTTCTTGCTCATGTTTTCTCATTTTATGATATCAAGATGATACGTTTATATTGGTCATTGTCAGCTGTACAGTAAATGTAAAAACGCGTTTTGTATAAAGTCAGTTACACTCAATTTGAATTTATATGGACATTCGCGGACACAATACAACTGCATTTCTTCTTTCTCGATAGACAGCTGCGGATTTTCTTCTTGTTTGTTAAATTGGAAAAAGTTTTATTAAATATTTCCATCATTTCCCCAGTACAACGGTTATTCATATTTTTTTGCACCGTTGCCTTATTCACTACCGTCAAATGCAGTCGTTACGTTGCCGATGAGCCTCACAGAGTTCCTACATGACCCCAACAAGCGAACATTGTCGAGTCATGACTGTATGCAGCATACATCAATACTGTTCTCTTGACGATTCTGTACCAGCTGAAATTAAAATATTCCTCATCCTGTTCCCTGATCGTGGGTGCGGCCGAATTTTTCCATTACAGGGGGAAATTTTAGGTAGAATGCGGTCCTTTTCAATATTAAGTCGCTTACCGGAATTCATGCAAGTTTAGCCAAAAATGCGCTGCAGTCAGATTTGACCAACTGTGATCAGCAGCTGTGAAACAACTTGGAAGAAAGCGCTTCATGCACTAGGTGAGGGTTGCTGAGAGGTCGATATATTGCTCTTATTTTGTCAGCAGAGTTATTTAAGCCATCAATCCTAACAATCACCCTTATGGGGGCTTTAGCGGCGTGTGATGGACACAGGAATAAAAAATTTATTCAATATTGAGATATTCCCTTGAATGTGAAGACATCTCGTGTCTAAGATTTGCGGGAGCTTCTGAAGTCAAGTGAGGCAAGAGATCACGTGCAACCGAAATTAACAAGTTTTCGGACATCACTTCCCATACGAGTGAATTATGGTTACCTCGCCCTCCGCGCCTGCCATTACAATTGTACAGGAAATAATTTGCAGTTATTCCCTCATTTATTTGGTCATCTTAATTTTTTTCGCGATACTCAATCGATGTGTCAATTGTTTGTAGCTTTGGTGAAATAATGTGGCTCAAATATCTTTGTCGATTGCAAACAGGAAGATGTTATAATGAATTAGTAAGAGAAAAGTGTTCCGGTTCTCGCACATTTAGGATAGAACGCTCACTGTGACAACGAAAAACTTTCATTTTTAAAGTGAGATTAGGAAAGATAAGAGAGAATAACGAACATAAACGAGGTTAGGTATTGACACAACAATCAATTACAACTCGAAACCACGTTGCTGCTCCGTCCTGTTCGAATCATAAATTGAGCGCTAGAATATGGCGTGAATAGAAGTTTGACTCTACTATCTCTTGAAACTGAGGAAACAATTTTATACTTAGTTACACGAGGCCTCATATTTATTGGAATACCGTGTATCATGTGGGGAAAATAAGACTCTTCGATCAACTTTCAGATGCGTGGTCGTCGTCCGAGTTTGTTTCCGCGTGCCTGTTCCAATGCAATTTAATTTTCATCGATCACTGTTTCACGTCACTTTTTTTGTACCTCATGTCAATCTTCGGCTCCCGAGTCGTCATCCTGGTATTTGACGCCATTAAATGTCTTAATAAGCCCGACTGCTTCCTAAATCTAAGCTCCGTCTACCCATGTACTTAAATTAACGGTCTGCTTATCGTCGTGTTGATCATCTAGCAACATAAGCGTTGTCTCACTGAACCTAAAGACGTCCAACATCAGCCTGAGGCTGTCGGCACAGTCGTGGCTGATGTTCCATGTCAGCCACTCCAGCTCATGCCCCGAAACTGGGCGAGGCTACACGTGAATATAGAGGTAGCAGGATCTACATTAGGCACAATAATTTATGCTCAATTCATTTGTATTTAAGTTACACTGAACAATATGTAATAGTTACGATAAATAATGTCTTTAAAAAACAGTTTTAATTCATAAATATGGAATTTCAAATCATGACCGAAGGGCGATGAGAGTACAACGTATAACTGACGGGGTTCCCGGCCAGGACCCAGGCAGAAGGGCACCAACATTATTCCATTTCAGGCCGAGGGGTCCACACACTTAGGATTGACAGCCGCTGGTATTAAGCAACTTTTTGCTCTGTTACTTCAATATGAAATTTCAGATTAAGTGACTTCTTATGTACACGACCAACGGCGGGGGCAGGCTACGCAACGATCATGGCGTATCAAATATAATTTGAAACGGAATGAATGCCGAAGTAATGATAAAAACACTCAAGAAATGCTGTATGGTCGGTGGCATTAAAACTATCCAAAAAATAAGCTCCAGTTCATCACAACAAACATTTCATAACATCTAACAAGATGGATCAGTTTCCAGTGAAGCTCTTACGCTGCCAACTCGTCCAGAACATATCACAAAATTGCACAAAGATTATTCTTAATTGTGGGTTCGTAAAGAACAACTTAGATGAGTAATTAAAAGCAGAGTGTAAATGTTTACACGCATCAATTACTAACTTAGGCATAACTGAGAATAATCGAGTATAGAGGATAAATTGAGTCTTGTTCATGTCATGAAATAATAACTGAATTAGTAGCCTGAATCACATAGTTCTTGTTGAACAAGTTCAGTTTTATGTATACTATATAAATAGATCAAAAAATGCTACACAACAAATCATGAGTAAAAATTGAAAGTTTTTTATGCCCATTCTTTGGATAGGATTAACCTATTAGCCAGGCGCAGGCTCTTTAGCTCAGGCGCAGCGGTTGTCGAGGGCGGAGCCAACGGCTGCTTTCTTCTTCAATTCGAAAGAAAAAATAAAATTTTGGGCTAACTAAGAACGAGGTAGAAATGCAAGCACACTAAGGGGTACAGCGACAATCATAGAATGATAATACATAAACCATGCGTAGTTATTACATAAAAAGTGAGGCATAAAAATAGAGCTGTAATCAATCCATTAGTTTTAACACAAATTCAATCGCAATGGTATTCTGACCTGTTATGTGGATTAAATAAGAATAAATGATGCGAGCCCTTTATAGGAGCTCAAGCTAAAGAAGTTACTTCATTGGGGAGACCGTCGCTTTTGATTTTTATGTCTTTTCTTCAAAATTGTAAAAATAATTTGAACATATCTAGTAAGTCCACTTAAGGAACAAGCGCACATTCAGCCTTGGAGGGCAGAGCGCGACCCAAACATAAAACTAATCGTGTCTGCACAAATGAGAGCACAAGAGTTCGTTAATATCGATAAAATATGAGCAAACTTCGACTTCACACCTCATAAACATGCACGTCATTCTTAGCCAAACTACGCCACATTTTCCTTAGCCACAGCCCGTGCTGGCACACAAGCGCTGCCACAGCCCGGGGCGCACTATGGCTGCCACCGCCCGGGGCGCACTAAGGCTGATGCCACAGCCCGGGGCGCACTAAGGCTGCCACAGCCCGGGACACACAAGCGCTGCCACAGCCCGGGACACACTAAGGCTGCCACAGCCCGGGACACACTAAGGCTGCCACATTCTAATAAATGCCATTGCTTGCAACTTATCGTATAGAATTGTAATCCCGGAGAAGTCCAGTAACCGGAATTGTGTGCATGTCATAGTAGTCGTGCTATTGTGCAAAGGTAACACAATTAAATGCAAACCCAACATTAGAATAGAAAGATTTGTCTTTTGAAACGAAAAATCTCACCCTCAGTCACAACATCAATCGAGTGAAGAGTAACAAGTTTACAACACTGACTAAAACATGATGGTTTTTCGTAATTACACAGCAGAATTTTCGCAAAATAATTCAAGCATTCTGAAAGAGAGCTTGGTGCAAATTTCTTGTCCAATTCTCAAATGAGTGAGGAGGTTAAACTAGTATAGCCAAAAAGTACTCGTACTTGGAATTATTGCAGCAATTCGGAATGTTACTTCAGGCTTGAGAGCAACATTTTTTGCTTGAGAAACGGTACTCTAGAAGGAATTTTGTTATCGTGTCGAGCCCGGTTTACATAGGAGAAATAATATCACAGTTATCTAAAAGGTGCCATTCAATACGTTCATACACTCAAAGCTCACGGCTATAATGCACACTATGATCAATGGTCTCATGATGCAAATTATAAGATATTTAACAGAGGGTGACAAGATAGAGGTGCTTCCTCGCACTTCGGCCGTGCTGATAGGAGTTAGGAATTGTGTAGCTAAAGCGGCCTAGTGTTAGTGGCAGTGTTCGGTGAGTTCGACGACCAGGGCTTTCCTCCAGCCGAAGACGAAGTAGCCGACGCCGGCGCCGAGGAGTACAGCGAGACACAGCCACGCGTTGTACGTCATAAAGACCAGCATGAGGAGGTAGGACACGAGGAACTGCACCATGTGCAGGCACGTCTGTATCGCGTGGGCCGAGCTCATCATCTTCATGCTGCGGTAGAACAAATCTCTCTTATGACCTGGTCATTGATGAACAACTGCAGGCATTTCTAGGGCACTCTGCCTGCCATGGGGAATGATATACAAGTACAAAATTTGGTGACATTCACCTCATGGCTATAATTGACAACGCACTGGCATACACTTTATAGCGCATTTTCTCATTTATGAAAAAAATGCCCTATTGTGCTCGTCATGTCCGTCCGTCTGTCCACGACTTCAAGTTTACGTCGACGAGAAAATGCGCTCTCTGTCACTCACTGCAGTGAGTACTGAGTTATATTTTTTCAGATTGTGGGGGTGTACGATCAGAGGGTGGGGGGTGTTCGTACATATAGCAAGGGCAGCAGGCTACAAGCCGCGTGTTGAAAAAAACCTGTCATGGCCCTGACCTTTACTTCTACCTGCCTCATGCATAAGCTTAACAGCAGCCGTCCTGAGCGTCACCTGGGCTACCTTTATAACAGCGTTAAGCTGCAAGCCTTCACAGGATACGACTATTGATAAGACACGGACATATGCTTAAGCATGTTAAACATGTGATACAATTATTAGACAAATACATATCATAATATGATAAGCACGGTTAGGTAGGAGCTGGCGAACAAGTTTGTCGGTAGCGAGAGGATCCCATTAGTGATGGTGAGGCGACAGCAACCGTGCAATACAACAAATGAAGAAACGTGCATGGATCAAAGGAATATAAAATGCACAAAATTGGAGGAAGCCGAAATAGGGACAACGAGTAAGAACGGCAATTAAAGCACGAAATTATACCAAGTTTAAAAGCAACATTAGCTACCTGCATTGGCCGTAAGAATTAAATATCAGCGGGGAAATTAAATGAAAAACTGTGATAAAAACGTCGTGCATTGAAATGTTAGGAACATCGGTGATACTTTTGACAGTGAAGTGCACCAGCTAGAGTCGAAAAGAAGCCTAAGTTTAATGGGGAACGTAATGAACAGAATATCGTCCAAACGAGTTTAGAAGAAAAGGAATAGGAATATCAGGCAAGGAGAGTTAGTCGACGTTGTCAGCTTGCAAATGATATACTACATGGCGCTCAATACCATGCACGAAACTCGTTACTTACGTTGAAGGTATAATGAAATTCTCGTAGCATCTGCAATACAGGAGCTTGTTAGCACGACGTGACCCGCAGGAAAAGTTCACATATGAGGTCTGAAATGTAGCATGTCGTAATGCATACTACACAGTATAGCCAACATATTACCAACACGACATAAAAGTTGTCAACTTTCCAACAGGTTCATATGACGAAATTGTCTTTCAATCACCCCACATACACATTAAAATTAATCACACGAACAAGACCACAAATATTGCATTAATTAGAAGTGAATAAATGTAATAAATATATTAGGAGTGAATAAATTCAACTTTAGCGTGATTCGACCAATGTGTTTATAGACCAACATAGAGTTAATCATTATGATTTAGATTAAAGACATCCTTATATGAGAAAGAAATCCTTACGTATGGGTACCAGCTAATGTTCAATTTATTCTAGACCTCTTCTAAATCAGAGCACTCAGTATTATCACAAATTGTAATCTTAAATAATGTAGAAAAACGTAGTAGTAATCGACATCCCTCAGTGGATCGTCAGTAGACAACCCAAACAATTAGCTCGAGCTGGCCGAATGGTTGAAATCACCACGATATGAGAGCGAGTTGATGGTTTGAAACTCGAAATCAGATGAGAAATAAGATTTGTTTAAACCGGCAATGCAGCTAGGTGGTTACGAACAGACAAACACAGCCTGATCAACACAGATACAAATTTGTAGAATAATGTATAATACTACAGCACCACACAAGGCGCAGGCAGGAAGCTTCGAACTTTTATGTCAGTAAGCTTCAATAGCGCAGCTCTGCTCGCAATGGTGCATTCTGTAAAGGGCGAGATTCTGCCTTCCTACATAGTACATCTATCAGCCAATCACACTACAGACGTCGTTCATCCATCAGCCAATCACACTACCGACGTCGTGCATACATCAGCCAATCACACTACCGACGTCGTGCATACATCAGCCAATCACACTACAGACGTCGTGAATCCATCAGCCAATCACACTACCAACGTCGCGCATCCATCAGCCAATCACACTACCAACGTCGCGCATCCATCAGCCAATCACACTACCGACGACATGCATCCATCAGCCAATCACACTACAGACGGCCGTCATCCATCAGCCAATCACACTACCGACGTCGTGCATCCATCAGCTAATAACACTACCGACGTCGTTCATCCATCAGCCAATCACACTACCAACGCCATGCATCCATCAGCTAATCACACTACCGACGTCGTTCATCCATCAGCAAATCACACTACCGACGTCGTTCATCCATCAGCCAATCACACTACAGACGTCGTACATCCATAAGCATATTAGACTACCGACGTCGTGCATCCATGGAGAGACTTCAGACATCGCCTGGCGTTGCACCATAGCTATCGTCTGGTGGGGAAGCTACATCTGGCTTAGGGAAGGGCACGTGACAAACACTAGGGCACACGTAGGTCTTCTCATCACAGCAAACGCCCCAACTCAAGGTGCTTGTACACGGGGATAGCGCAGACGGCTAGTAGATCTGACAGTGGCCAAATGTCTGCCGCTTGTTGTCTATCCCGCAAGGAAGATTAGACATGAGGCAAGTTTAAGGTGCCGCCGTGCCGGTATCTAGTCGTTACCGGCACGGCGGCACCTCAAACTTGCCTCGTGTCCAAGCTTCCTTGCGGGATAGACACCGAGAGGCAGACATTTGGCAACTGTCAGATATACTAGCCGTTTGCACTATCCCCGTGTACAAGCACCAATAATCTATAGAGGGCGTGATGCTTCACCTGACAGGCTGCTGCTGCTGCTGATCTTCAGTGAGAGTGATGTTGTTGCTGCTTGTGGTGGAGTAACTGACGCGCTGCACAGCTTTCCGGAAAAGGTACTCTCTGCAAATAACATAATAAATATTAGTCTGGGTAGACAAAAATTAAATTTTATTTCTTCTTCTAGATGGAAATGGAGTTGCTCATAACCTTAAAAATTTCAACTCATGCTGCAGAATGTCATCAAAATTTGAAGTAGAATTTGGAAGAGCCAGAAACATGTCAGAAAAAGTGTAGTGAAAATATCAGCATGGTCAAAACTGAAATTATATGCTACTCCAACCAACTTGTTAGTCTTATGTTCTAGTGGGACTGGCACACATTTTCTGTTATAGCCATAACTGAAGTAAATAATAACTAATAAAAGCAATAAATGTCATGTGTGAAGTGATGCAAAAAGAATTGTGCATTTTTTTGCAAACGAGTGGATTTTTCTCTGAGTGCATATGTTTTATACTAGCATTTAAAGCTTAACATAATATTTTGTCAAATTTTTGTGAATTAAGCAATAATGATGAATGGTTTCTATAAACTAATAACTAACAGAAGCAAAATAGCTAAAGCCAGTTTCACAATAAGCCATGCATTCCCTTAACTTGACATTTTCTCCAATATCGCTTCTCTGTCCATACCAAATCACACATTCAATGCAAAATTGGCCTAGTATCATCATTTACAAATGGAATGGATGTAATCACTGCATTGAACCTACAGCACCCACACCTCGAGATACAGTCACCATGTTAATATAGAAAAGGAACTCCTAGAATTAGATAGGGTCTTGCAACCTGTATGAATTTTATAACCTGAAGGTTAAGGATTAGATTACCTGCAGTATTTAAGAGCTTCATATAAGAAGGCCAAGATGAAAATGCCGAGCATAGAGAGCAAAAGCTCCCACACTTCCGAGATGCGCCAGAAGTCAAAGAGGATAACTTCATTGCAGCCTCCATGGAAGTACATCTGAGTTGAGAGGTCACATGTCAAACTCAGCCAAGGATTAAGGCAACAAGGTAAAGATTCCCATTGAGAGATAATTCTATTTGTACTCAGAAAAAAGTTGCATGTCAAACTCAGGCAAGGATTCAAGGTGACAAGGTAAAGATGAAAGATAATCTTATTTGTACCTCCTCATTCAGTTCTTATTTTTATTCGCAATGAATCTATGTACTGCATGGATGTTATAAGAAAATGTTGCCAGAAAATTTTTACAACAAATCTGGAGCACTAAATGAGGTTCCCTCAAAATCTATTGATATAACAAATAAAGGCTATGCTAAATAATATATAAATAATATTAACAATTTCATCATCATTCTTTGAAAAAACTTGTGACATGACAGCTTTCAGATTTATTGGAGTATACAGACAAATATGTTGTTAATTTTGATCATTAGTAGCATTGCACATGAACTGAACTCAAAGTTTCAGCAAAATAATGGTTCAATTGACAGACTTATTTTTGAGATTGTTTATTGGTTTGTGTGTTCCTAGAATTGACATTATGGCCATTTTGAAATATAGTTTTATTTTATGAAATGATAACTGAGCAGCTATAGCTTTTATCAAAACTTTTTTATCCATAGAAAAGTGCACACAATTAAAACATGAATCTATTAAACTATAGTTAAAACTCCTAGCTCACCATCATTCCACCCATGTCCATTCCACCCATGTCCATGGTAGAGCCACCCATGTCCATTCCACCCATGTCCATGGTAGTGGTAGTCATTTTCATATCTGAATTTTCCTTCATTGAGCCATGATGGTGGTGGTGATGATTCGTCATATCCATGATAAAAGGCAAAGGTTTGATTTATCAAGTGGTTAAAAGAAATTTAAATTATCTGAAAAATGAAAATTTGATTATCAAATCATTTTACACTGGTATGTTTAAAATCTGCATAATATACACACAAGGCTTTTCAGGAGAACTTCTTTAACCCTTTTGCAGGCAAGCATACAACTATTCCGAAATTTAACTTTCTGAAGCCAATACCTTACAGGATGGACTATCAGAAGATAAACTTACTCATACGGATTATTCAAAATTGCAGATGAACATTCCACAAAAATTTGTCACTACACTAAAAGAAGTTCAAATTTTATACCTTTATTAAATAAAATGCAAAGTGAAACTATCGAGCTGCAATTTGATTCAGTTTTCTCCAGCTATTTTAGATTAATTAAATTGATATTGCATTTTACAACTTTTTTGAATGTGCAGAAAGAGCATTAATTTCATAATCCAAGTCAGAACTTTCATATAAATGCTCCTATTTTAATCATGGGGCACAGCAGAGGGTGAAGTTAAGTATGAATGGATGGACAGATGACTGGAGATTGACAGAGACATGATAATGTTACCTCAATTACAAATCAGAGAAAAGCTGGACTTTTTTGGTGATTTTAAATGACCATAGATGGTAATTTGCTATGAAAGGGTTACTTTAATGTCACTTACAAGCCAGTTGAGAGCAATGCTAATAACTCATCTACATAAATAATTATAATTATGGTCTAATAAGTTACCTAATAATGATACTAATTTTTGGCACATTAAATCCCTTGCCTTAGAACTCTTTGGGTTATCATCTGTACATCAAACTTCATGGGTTAACTATTCCTTAAATAGTATCTACTGCAGCCACTAAGGGAAGTCTTGTATTGGGTTATGCAGAAACTTTTAAATTGCTGCCTTAACTTAAAACTTAACCAATCAAGGGTTATGATAATATTTTTTCAAATGGTTCTTGAGTATTTCAAGAACTTCAATACATCAGTAATAGTAATTCTAGTAGAATACCAAATAATATATACCATTAACCAGTGAATATTTTATAAAGATAAAAGCTGTATTTGCTACAACTTGTTATAACTCCTCATAACTGCTAAGCAAATACTATATGGCTGATATGCAGAGGTGGGCAGTAGCACGCTACATGTAGCAGCCGCTACATTTTCAGTAGTGGTAGTGGCGCTACATTTAAGCAATTGTAGCGATAGCGCCCGCTGCATTTAAGCAATTGTAGCGGTAGTGCCCGCTACATATTTAAGTAGCGATACGAGGTTTTTGCCACTAAAGCTCTATTGCTACATTTATAGATAAAGCCTTTAGATTTTACTTGATAGTATTAAATATTAGTTAAAATCCAGCATGATACATAAATAATATAAATTACAGAATAAAACTGTACAAGATATTTCAGTGTAATGTTGTCAACCTCAGCATGTTACTAGAGTCAACATGTTAGTTGTTACCAGAGGTGGGCAGTAGCGCGCTACATGTAGCAGTTGCTACATTTTCAGTAGTGGTAGTGGCGCTACATTTAAGCAATTGTAGCGGTAGTGCCCGCTACATATTCAAGTGGCAATACGAGGTTTTTGCTACTAAAGCGCTACCGCTACACTTATAGATAAAGCCTTTAGATTTTACTTAATAGTATTAAATATTAGTTAAAATCCAGCATGATACATACATAATATAAATTACAGAATAAAACTGTACAAGATATTTCAGTATAATGTTGTCAACCTCAGCCTGTTACTAGAGTCAACATGTTAGTTGTTACCAGAGGTGGGCAGTGGCACGCTACATGTAGCGGCCGCTACATTTTCAGTAGTGGTGCTCCGTTTAAGCAATTTTAGCAGTAGAGGTAGTGCCCGCTACATTTAGAGCATGTAGCGGTAGCGGCTGCTACATTTAGAGCATGTAGCGGTAGTGGCTGCTACATTTCAAAGTAGCGCTGCCCAGCTCTGCTGATATGCAAACCAAAAACATGCTATTGCAATTACATTTCTTAACGTACAGCTCCTACTGCCGAAATTGATTTCAAGTTGCACAGCAATTTGTTTCTTTATTGCTTTGTAATAATAAGGTTTCAGGAAAAAGGTTTGAAATTTTTTATATCACCCATAATATATTCAATATTTATTCAATACAAAAGAAAAATTCTGGCAGAAAGTGCAAAATATACGTATAGACACTACATAATAGTATAGCAAATAGTTATGCTGATAACTACATCAAAATACATCAAGAAACTGTAAAATTACATTTACTTCAACATTGCTCAGAGAACTTTGAACTTTCTCCAAGAAAGTCACCAAGATTTCAAGGTTACCTTTAAAAATTTCATCATATTAACCTCCTATTCCTTAAATGGTACCTATTTTAGAATGGAGAAATTAAGGGAGCATCACAGAAATAAATCAATTTATTTATTGACTGATATTTCTGTTACTTCATACACACATGTGAAGAACTAATAAAGGCACATTCAGTTTGTAGGGATTTTTCTTGCTGAAATAAATTGTGAAATGGACAGAAAATGCAATGAAATTACATTAAAAAAATATATAACTCAGTACTCACTGCAGTGAGTGACAGTGCACATTTTCTCGTCAACAAAAGTGAAGTCACGGACAGACAGACAGGGCAAGCACAATAGTGCATTTTTTCCATAAATGAGAAAATGGACTAAAACTGTTCATTTCTAATAGATTCATCGCCAAAATTTTGGATACATAGCATATGAATATGCATAGGTAGTTTAAATGCCTATTGATTCCAAGTTCCTTTTTTATCGCATTTTCTCATTTATGGAAAAAAGGTGCTATTGTGCTTGTCATGTGCGTCATGTGTGCTTGTCTATCTGTGTCTGCGACTTCACGTTTTGGTTGATTTTAAGAATACTTTAAAACGCTTTGTGATTTAGATTGGTTGAAGATACTACTGGTCTTGAAAACTGATTTATGCACGAGAAAATGCGCTCTCTGTCACTCACTGCAGTGAGTACTGATCTAATTTTTTAAATTTTGTTTTTACATTTTAGGGCTTATAATCTAGGTATATATTAATTATATCCAAACCCTTCCAGAGTCGATAGTACTACAAATCAAATGACATATATTTCCACATTGTGGCTTGTTAATTGAAGCAGTAACAAACTTTATTAGCAGAAAATTTCAATTGCTCACAGGAGCCAAAAAATGGGAAAGGTTTCAAAAAGAGGTCAAGATTACAAAAATTGCTCAGTACGTACTGCATCTCTGGCTTACCCATTGTCTAATATTAACAATGAGGGTACTTCATGCACCACAAGACTCATTTTTGTCCAGTTTAGAGGGAATACTAATCTACAAAAATGCTTTAATCCAAATAATATTTGTACTGTGAGAGAATGTTTAATTTGTACAAGTTAGAAACAGCCTTGCATGCTAACCACAGTACTGACCCATACGAGCCAAGCTGCATTAAAAGCACTGTAAACATGGTTACAAAATAAGCTTGAAATAAAACCTCAAGTTTTTATGTTTGATCAGTTGCTGCCTTAATAGAAATTAGTAGCTAAATTTTGCTTGTAAGATTAATTCGGATATAATATATTTTAGCTTACCCCATTATGATCAAGTGTTATAAATTAGGGTTAATGAAGGTCAGTAGTTTCCAAACTTTTGCAGGCTGGTGACTCCTAGGCTCCTCAGTGAATTCCTAGCGCTCCCCCCCCCTGCCACATACACATATGGAAACTATCACCTTTTTCTTGATATTTGGAATGCAGCAATTTGAGAAAGAAAAGTTTAAACACAAATGTGTATTTCACAATTAAAATCCAATTTATTCAACTACTAAATTTTTTTTAGTTTCAACTAACTTAGCAACACAGAATGGTAAATATATTTTTCAAAAATTTACAATGGTTAAAAGGAGAGGTTAAAAAACAGATCTAGGTGAAAAAAAAAAACATTGCTAAGAGCTGTGTGTGGCACATGTTGTGTACAAATTGTCAAAAGTTTAAACTTCTGACTTCAACTTTGGACTGCCACCCAAAGTGATAAGTGTATCTACACTTATCTACATCTACAGTCTTCTTTCTCACTGCCCCCATATTCTTCCACCTCCCTCAGGAGGTAGAACTGCCCACTTTGGGAAACACTGATCTATCATCTAGGTATGAAGATATATTCAAGCATGATATTCTAGATTTATAAATGAACAAGAAACCATGTTTAGGTTTCTGTTGCCTACTAGTTTAGAGCATTTCACAAAATTTGAAGAAGCCAGTCCATTTCCTAGCTGCAATCATTAAACTGTCTTAAAAGTTATAAACAAATCATTTGTTTTAGATATTAATTGACTATGCATTTTTATGGGCTGTCACTCTTACTGCTGAACGGCAATGGACACCTTAACCTAACTCGGTGAATTATATAACACTCCCATCTGATCCGAGTTAATGTGCAGCTAGATTAATTCATTACATTCATGTTGGCTAACAAATACCAATTTATTATTCTTGTATATTGGATTTTTTACCTGCATACTACACCTGAAAATAATATTAGAACCTTTTAATACATTCCCAAATCCTTTCAACAAATAAAGGTGTCCCATTATAGTCAGCATCATGATAATTCTTAATATATATACGGTACCACAAGGATATGAAAGGGTAATATAATATAATATTGTAGATAAAATTAAGCAGGTTCCACTATCATACTTTAAATAACAAAAGCTTAGTGGTCATGGATTAATTAGTTTATGTGAGATGCCCTCAAGGTGCTGATTGGAAAATCTTGTAGATGCCTTGAGAGGATGAAGCTCAACTGCCAGAGCCTAAGAATAGCTTCCCCATGGACAATGATTTCACACATGATCATAACTCTTCACTAATTTTGTATCAAAATTAGCTAAATTTATGTTATTTTATTTTAAAATATTCAAGGACATCCATGAAACATTCATTGCCATTCAGCATCTAAGATATAATTTTGCCAACATTCTTCATAGGCAAAAAGCCAGATTTGGTTCATTTACAGTCTTGCAGTCTGAGCAGGCATATT